CAAGTCTCTTTTTAAATAGTGTCATGGAAGAACTGGCAGGTGGCACCTCTGGCACTGCAAACCTCTCCTGCTATTGTCCTAGATTTGGGCTGAATTAATTGTTCCAGAGGAGCAATGGGGACCAAATGAGCTCAAGTCCTGATGTAAGTCTTGAATCCACAACCTTCTGAGTCATACGCAAGGCTGTGACCAAGTGAACTGAGATGATCCTAAGCTAGGAAGGAAAGAAAGACAGTCAGGCTTCCATTCTTGGTCACTGTCCAATAACCACTGGTGAAAAGTGCATGAGTGTGGAGGTCAGAAGTCCAGATCTGATTTTCCCAATATTGAAAAGTCTGCTAATACTCAAGTGTCTGAGCTCAAGGATGTACAATCCGGAGAGCTAATGGCTGGCTCCCTGTGGATCTGTACTCAAACATGAGCCAACTCCAGAGAAAAAGATAATAATAATAATCCTTGCATTTGATATAGCGCTTTTCACGTCTTCTAGATGTCCCAAAGTACTTCACAGAACACACTGTAAAGTGAATTGCTGTATATTTTTTGTGGGCGAACGGGGCAGCCAATTGTGCACATCAGTGTCCCACAAACAGTCGTGGATTGAAAATGACCAATTTATTATTGTTTTTTTTTGGAGGGATTATAAAGACTAGAAAGGATTTATTCTAGTCTGTTGGATTATAATATCTAGGTGAAATAATCAGAAATATTCATACACTTGTCTTGTTTTTGACAAGAACCTATCTCTTTTGATGAGAATACTGCACCTAAAAAGAAGCAACTTTCGTAGGTAAGGCAAGATTTATTTTCATAGCTATGCACTACACAGTGAAAATCAGCCATTTCTTCAACAATAAAATACAACTACAATCCACAATTACATTTGTATGGCACCTTTCACATCAGGACATCTCAAGGCACAGGATAGTCAGGGATTTGGACCCGAGCAGGGGAGTTGGGATCAGGGAGGGTGGAGGGCAGGAGGGTGGCTGAACGCATGGTCAAAGAGGAGAGTCTTGAGATGTGCCTTGAAGGAGGCAAGGAAGGGAGTAAGGTGAAGGGAATGTGGGATAAAGTTCAAAGGGTGGGAGCAGAGAAGCTGAAGGCCTGACCTCCGATAGTGGGGTCTGCCGAGCAGGGGGACGTGTTGCAGGCTGCTGGGCGGAAGGGGTGGACAGGTTGATATGGAAGAACATTATGTGATAGCATCACATACTGTATTCAGAGAATTTACACAAGTTAGAAACAAAGGAATACAAAGCTGAAAACTGTAAATTATGTTCCCCAATTTGTCTTTCACCTTCCTCCCTCAGATTGAATTGCTGCACCACCATAAAGTGCTCTTTCCCACATCCCCACTGAGAACTATTGACTTACCCACTGATGACAATTTATTTCAAATGCAAGACATGAATTTCCCTCACATCCTCAAGAGAGTTTAACACAGTGTACATCTCAAAAGGTGACTGTTCTGAAGTCACATTTGCAAAGTCAACATCTGAGCAATAACTTTGTGCACCTGTTTTAGGTATTAATTTGACTGTGAATCCACTTACTTAGTGGCATTCCTGAGTAGTCTGAGAATAGACTGGTTTCAAGTTATTTAGAAAAGTAAGGATTTTTCTCCACACAGCGTCAGCCTAGCTCAGTAAGCAGAACTTTGACCTCTAAGTCAGAAAGTTTGGGAACTGAAGACTGACTTTAAGGCTTTAAGCTCAGTCTTGATTGACGCTCCAAAGTAGTGCTGGCAGTGTGCTGCATTGTTGGAGATGCTGTCCTTCTGATGAGATGTAAACCAATGTCCTATCCACTTGGTTAATTGGACATTGAAGATCTCTCTGGAAATTTCTCCCAGGGTCCAGACCAACAATCTCCTAAATAAAATGTGTCATTCACTTCATGGCTTTTTAAATGGGATATTGCCATACGTTTCACCCACAAAATAGTCAATCCACTTTCCAGTAAACCCTTTGAGACATCGCAACATGATAAGGCTCTATATCAAATGTAAGGATTATTATTATAATACACAAATTGGCTGTTGTGTACACCTACAAATTAGTGACTGCAGTAAACCTTGTGTAGCACTTTTGAGGTATTGATGATGATACAATATCAATGCAAGAATCATTATTCACAAACAACTCCTAGAGATTTATCAAATGCTGTTCTGAATTATGTGTTGTGGATTTCCCTCATTTGATGGATGGTTGGACGAACCGCTCATGTATGGCTGAAGACAAGGCAAAGAGGGAGAAATTACACCTCCATCCAATTATTCTGTGGTACTGAACACTATCTCTAATAGTTGTCCAAGATTATAAAAAGTGTGATTAAATATGGCTGTGGTACATGAAGCAAAGAATTCAGCTACAAAGCAGGATAGTTTTACTTCACCTTTACTCTGCAATATATGCAGTAACAGTACTCCAGTCTGCTTCTCTTTATTGAAAATTAGTCATATGTATTAAAACAAAAAAATCCTATATTTACAATCACAAGTTATGTAAGATATATCACATTTTCATGTGTTGTATTCAATACCAGATTACTGGCTAATTGAAAGGTCATTTTTATCTAGTATTTTTGACAAATATAAAGGAATGTCAGATAAAAGTTTATATCAAGCTAAGTATAAAGAATACCCTTGGAATATTTCACTGAAAAAACAAGCCCTGTGTGTTTTTTTTAGAAAAAGAAAATGTTGGTGACTTTTTTTGTATTTATCTAGATGAAAAATATCAACAATGTGCAAAATAGTACTTTGGGCAATCATTGTTTGCCAGCAGCCCAGGTTAGCTGAACAAACTGCAGTCAAGTTAAATTCTGTTTGCTCTTTTCAACAGCGCCCTCTATTGCACCAGAGAGATATTTTCATCTCAGCCATCAATCTGCTTCCTCAATACATAAAAATCACTGATTTGGGCTAAATGCTATTTTGCTTTGACTTAAAGTTTACGAAATAAGAGACAAGCACTTTGAAATGTTTGTAAATGAAACTTGCTATATAAATGCAAGTTGTTGTTCACTTAAAAAAATGCAAATTTATATAATTTTACTTTGTTAAATTTGCACTCCTGCACACTAAAAAAAAATCCTAAATAGTAGCTACCTAATATTAACAAATTCATTTAATTAAACAATCTGAATAACCCTTTCTGAGAATGTCAATTTAGTGACAAATTAGAAGTGGTCTGTGCTGTGGGCTGCAGCAACCAGGATAAGATGACCCAAAATGCTAATCATATAACTCCCATACTGGAGGTTCATGCCATGATCCTGCGCTGAATTTGAACCCCAGTTCCACAAAGAAAGGACACTGTTAGGAGTTACAATCCCCCATAAAAGTGAATTTTGTGCCCGTTTCCTACTCATCTTTGCTGAAGATCTTTAACCCATTAGGACATAGCCTCCAAGGGCAAGCTACCCTTTGGGAACATGACATAACTTCCTAGGGGTGAGCAGACATTCTGCTCAGGACATAACTCCCTAAGGGCTAACCACCCTCCGCTGCCTCACTAATGGTCATTCATCATGTAGTAGTCCAGAAGGTGAATGTAAAACAAGCAATTTGACAGTGGATTATCACAGCTGCACCCAATTCTGTTGTCACCTGATGTGCTTGCATCCGTCTAATTTGTCTCAACAGCCCAAACGTTGCTGATGCCAGTTAAAATATTCAACTGCTGACGTGGTTGAAACCAGTTGCTCAGCACTGAATAGGAATGAAGTGTTTACAGCGTCATAGATAAATCTGTCCTTGGTCCACTCCTATCCCTCTGTCTCTGTCCCCAATGAAGAGTTTGTTTCCCCACGTTAAAGAATGTTAAACTTCCAGTCTCTAACTACCCCCCCAACCCCCACCCAAACCTGGTCAAAATCAGGAGTGGAGTGGATTAAAACCCAAATTAGGGTTAATTTAGAATACAGGACTGGATGTTTCTTAATCTGGAGCATTGTTCAATTCATATTTTAAAAAATGTATAAAAAGGCTGTCAACAGCAGGGAATTTAGTAATGCTGTAAATAGTGGAAACAAAGATCTTCATAGTTATGATTATATCCAAATCACCACAAAATTATATTTCCTTCAAATTATTTCTGTGAACAATTCTCTATGTAAATAGTAAAGCAACTGCCCTAATAAGTCACATGATTGTGCACCATCATCACCTTTTAGGACTATCACACTTAAAGGGCAAAACATGAGTTCTATAAAATAGCTCTTAAAGAGTGATAGACCCATCTGGGAATAAAAAAAATAAAGCACTTATAGTTTTCCTATTTGAAATGTTGTGATTACCTTTTGCAATACATTTACTGCAATCGCCTGCACAAACTGCCCCATGTTCAGTATCAGCTCCAAGTACATGGATTTTGATTAGGAAGTTAAAAAGATGAGTGGATACTGACAAAGAAAACCACAAAGGCTGGTATGGTAACAACAAATTAAGGTATGGTAAACTCATTTTAAAAGCTAATCTGCCATAGGAACTTGCATCCATTCCAACCATCTGGTGTGAAAGACAAGTTAGCTTCCAAAATACACACATCTCCCATTTTTACAGTAAGACTTCCAAAAATATATTTTCTGTAATGATTAGTGCCAATTCAGAAACACCAATAAAGAATTGCAGATTTTCAAAATGCTTCTTGATCCACAACATTTTTGGAATAAACTACAAAATTGGAACATTGGTGAGAAACTATCACTTTAGCCCTCATCGGGTAATAATATAGTTAGTGCCATCAATGGAAAAAAAAAGTTTCCTTCAACTGCTATTGATTCACATTTTTTTAAACCAGCTTCAAAACTCACAAGCACTGCAGGTGAGAACAAGTTAAACAGCATGAAATATGTTGATTTATTTCAGATTCCCTGATTCTATTCAATTTATGCTTATATTCTCAGGTTGACATGACTGCTGGCAAATCATTCTTTCTGCAAGATGTATATGGCACCTTAAACCACTACTGGAGCAGTTGTGGGCAGCATTAGGAATTATTTTATGGCTTTATTGTCTCTGCAAAGCATTTGTTTGAACACAACAATTTTATGAAAATTGGCACCAAAGGATACTTGCCGTAGCAAGTCAAACATTAAAGGGGGACGTCAAAAGAAAAAGAAAATATCTATTTGGGAAGTTGTGTAACGATAGAATTCATCTTCAGGAGGACTTTGCTTTTCTTGCACGTGGTGAATCTCCATGTTCAGAATTCACAGTCCCATTCATTCCGTTAGCTGGAATACAGAAGATACAGTTAATAATGTTTCTTTCTTTCGCCCACAAATACAGTCAATTCACTTTACAGTATATTCTGTAAAGCAGATGTCTAGAAGGCCTGAAAAGCGCTATATCAAATGCAAGGATTATTATTATTTCTTGCAAAGTACTGTTTAGTTTAAATATTGGATTGAAATAATATAATAATCCTTGCATTTGATGTAGCGTATTATCACGTCTTCTAGACCTCTCAAAGCGCTTTGGTGGTTTAAGACATCTAAGTCAACGGTGGTTAGAGACAATATGTAGAACAAGCACAATAAAATGCATGCAAAGTAGACTCAAGCAATTCAAGAAAAATAAACTGAAACATAAGAAAAACATACGTAACTTAGAACAGATTGTCACTGTATAAAGATCTTCATACAGAATCCATTCCTCAATGTAAATTAGTATATTTTACAGAATACGCAAAGCCTGCTTGAACATTACATATTATCGCAAGATATAAATCTTGATGCTCTGCTTCACCCCCCGATGTGCTTCAAATCGCACATCCATTCCATTGCTAAGAACCCTTCTCCAATGCTCTTAGCCAACTTCTTTAATTCAATCCTTCACAAGCTCCCAAGTATGCACCCCTTACACTCTTCCATACCAGACTGCTCAGCTATTATTCCCGTCATCCCCCCTTCCCCTCTCTCCCACCCCGGGTCTGAAATGCTGTACTCTGCCTTGGGACGTCCTCCCGACACGAAAGGCGCTATACAAATGTAATCTTGTTGTTGTCATCGCTGGCTCCACTGGATCTTCAGTCTCACCCATTTGCTACTTTTGCAAACTCTTCCAGTCCTGTTTTCTTGCCTATACTTTATGCTCTTCCGATTCAAGCCTATTGCTCATACCTCCCCACCTACCCTACTGTTAGAATCCAAGACTAGCCACTGTGCTCCTGCCTCTGGAACTCCCTTCCAAAAATCTATTGCCCTTTTTCCTCCATCCCTCCCTTTAAAGCCCTCTTAAAAACATCTTTCTTTGATTGTGCCTTGGGTCAATAGCCTTAATTTTCCCTGTTCCCTATCAGATCTGTTAAGAGTTTCAGAGACATTGAGCCTTTGTGAAAGGTGCTAAATTATTATGCAGTGTTTCCTCTTTAATGCATTGATGCTTCCTGCTTCAAATACAGCTTTTGGCAATGAGTTCCATATTCACAGTAACCCCCGTCTGAAGATTTTCCTCCCAAACTCTCTTGAAGGTCTGTTCCTGGCTATCCTAGATTTAATGCCCCATTGTTATGGAATTGCCAATAAGTGAAAACAGTATCTGTGTTTATCTTAAGAAACCCCTTCATAATTTTAAAATGCATCCATTCTCTCATTCCTGGTAATATTCTAGTACATTTATGTTGCACTCTCACCACTTGACGCAATATCTTTTTTGCAGACTGCCACTAGAAATGTAGAAATGTATTCCAAATATTGTCTATCCGGGTTTTATTCATTTTTTTGTATGTTTGTATTTTATACTAACTGACCTCTGTTTTCTCCTTTTCTAGCTGTTTTGCTTTTTGTATTGCCAGCTTTCTTCTTTAGGGAGTTGAGTTGTGCATGGTCTTTCCACCTCTTAAGCTGGAAGTTAACGAACTTCCACATCATATAAGCTTGAGTCAAGCAAATGCAAGTCAGGGCACTTATTCTGGAATCAAATATAATAGGTTAATGCTGCATATAACAGTATTAAAATATTTACATTCAATCCTATTAAAGCCCTGCAGGATGCTACCCTGCATAAAAGGTGCCATATAAATGCAAGTTGTTGCGATTATAATAAATTCACAGGTTACATATGATCATATTAAACTTGCAACTGAAACTACTATCATATCTTGTCTGGAAAATATTTTCTTTTAAATTTGGTACTAATGACCTATAATGATTATACTAATGTCTCGTATTACCGAACGGATCGACTTCAAGATCCTCACACACGTGTTCAAATGCATTCACTCTCTGGCACCCCTCTACCTCTCTGACCTCCTCACTCTACTGACACTGGCCTCCTGCTCGTCCCTCGCACCCTCCATCGGGAGGTCGCTCTTTCAGCTACTATGCCCCAAAACTCTGGAACACTCTCTCTCAATCCCTCTGCCTTGCCCCCTCTCTCCCCTCTTTCAGGGCCTGCCTGAAAACGTTCCTCTTCGACCATGCTTTGGAGTCCTGTAGCTCAGTGGTTAGAGCACTCGCTTTGCAAGCGAGAGACCTGAGTTCAATTCCAGGCAGGTCAGGGCGAAACTTTGGGCAAGTTTCCTTACTCCACACGCCTAATAATAATCCCTCCAAAACCCAAAACAATAATAAATTGGTCATTTTCAATCTACGACTGTTTGTGGGACATTGCTGTGCGCAATTGGCTGCCGCGTTCGCCCTCAAATATACAGTCAATTCACTTTACAGTGTGTTCTGTGAAGCGCTTTGGGACGTCCTCCTGACGTGAAAAGCGCTATATCAAATGCAAGGATTATTATTATTATTATTATTATATTATTATTATTATTCTGTGAAGCGCTTTGGGACGTCCTCCCGACGTGAAAAGCGCTATATCAAATGCAAGGATTATTATTATTATTATTATTATATTATTATTATTATTCTGTGAAGCGCTTTGGGACGTCCTCCCGACGTGAAAAGTGCTATATCAAATGCAAGGATTATTATTATTATTATTATGACCACCTCCCCCTCCCCCTGGCTCGGAGTCAGGCTCCGCCACTGTTAAGCGCTCTGAGCTGCTACCCTGCGTGGAGGGCGCTATATAAGTGCAAGTTGTTGTTGTACTTACAAATGAACACTGTTTATATTTGTGTTACCTGACTTCCCACATTGGTTACTGTGGTACAGTCAATAACTGGTGTAGGTTACATAACCCTGGTTTGCTTACTTTAGCAGACGTCTGGATTACAGCGTACAGAGTAATCTCTGATTACTCAATGGTTCAAAGATTTAATTTGATTAGTAGTTAGGACTGGAAAGGACCCAGATTTGTGTTAGCTGATCTGTTGTCCTATCCTGAAATGGCAGTCTAGCATCTAACGCTACACTTGTGACAAGTCATGCTTTGTTCCATTTATGTTCCTTCCATGAAGACTGAACGTTTGTAGCTATCAAACACATTTAACCTTAAAACCTTTTCAGATGTGAAACGGACAAATATCAGCTCCTGGTGTGTTATATTGGAGAACGACCAGAAAATACTATATGCGGATCACGATGGGCAGAATAGCCTTCTTTTGTGCTACAAAAAAAATTCTAAGTTTATAACAAGATTTTCTTTTTATCTTGGATAATGAAAGCACAAGAAAACAGCAGATTGTAGTTTTTTTTTACCTTACAGCCAGTATGTTAAAGTTTCCAGCAGCTAAATCAAGACCTTGATTTTCAGCTCCTGCAAGGCCAAATCCAAACGTCAGGACAGATAGGGAGAGAGTAAGCAGTCGTGTCACTACGAACAATAAGGCCCAAACAGTAAATCTAGGAATAAAAGAAAAATGACATTTAATACATGGCTTCCTCAATATGTAGAATTATGAATAAAACAGCAAAGTATTGTTAAATGGCAGTTTTACAAGATCTGCACGATTCTTAAAAATCAACAAACTACAAAGGGAACAGACTAGTTTGAAATGAAAATTTTGCCAACCCAGGGTTATTTTCTGCTGCTTCCCATTAAAATCCATGAGTGGAAGAGAGTGAGAAGATTATGGATGACAACAAGAAATTGTTTCTCCCACAAAATATACAATCAATTCACTTTACAGTATATTCTGTGAAGCACTTTGAGATGTCTCAAGGACAAAATAAGGCACTATGTCAAATGAAAGGATTATTATTATTTCACATGAGGTGTAGGTCTGTGGGAAAGAAATACAGTGCTTTTCCCAATGGCTCAGTTAGTCAATGCACAATTACTGTAAAACTGAGCCACCCTTACTGGCAAGGTCCCAAACTCTTGTTTAGAATCAGGCTAGAACAGTCTGCTATTCACTGGCCGGGCTCACAAATACAGAATGGTTTCTTGATAAAATAAAATAATAATCCTTGCATTTGATATAGCACTTTTCATGTCTTCTAGATGTCTCAAAGTGCTTCACAGAATATACTGTAAAGTGAATTGACTGTACATTTTTGAATGCAACGCAAAACCAATTGCACACAACAGTGTCCCACAAACAGTCGTGGATTGAGTGACCAATTATTGTTTTTTTTTCTTGAGGGATTATTATCAGGGGTGTGGAATAAGTAAATTTGTCCAAGGTTTCGCCCTGCTGGGAATCGAACCCAGGTCTCTCGCTTGCGAGGCGAGTGCTCTAACCACTGAGCTACAGGACTCCTGACTTGACTGAAATATCAAAAGGTAACTCTACCCTAGCGCAAGCTGGTTTGAAAATCTAAGTGTGGAAAGCTTTTTAAAAAGATGCTCCAGTCAATTTTCCTCTTGACCCAAAATTTAATTGTTATTATGGTTGCTCCATCTAGTGGTCAGAATGACAACTGATTGGGAACCAATCCAAAATTCAAATCTACTACCCTCCAAGTGGGAGCACAACCTTCATGGCTAGGTAATACAGAATCTTGATGGGGACTCCTTCTGAGAGCCATAAATACATTACAAAGATTTCCCGAAATGCTCAGAAAATATATTAGTCTGATGCACAGATCTCTATGGATTGGGGTGAAATGCATGGCATTTCTTAGTAAAGTCCATTCATAGAACCATACAGTACAGAAAGAGGCTATTCGGCCCATCGTGTCTGCGCCGGCTCCGAAAAGAGCAATCCAACTCAATCCCACTGGCCCGCTTTCTCTCCTTAGCCCTGCAATCCGGTCCTCCCCAAATATCCATGTACTTCTCTCTTAAAAGTTGTCATTGAATCGGCTTCCACTACCCTTTCAGGTAATACATTCCAGATCCGAACAACTGGCTGGGTGAAATTTCTTTTCCTAATCTCCCGTTTCTTTTAACAACTAACTTAAATTGGTGACCTCGGGTTACTGACACACATGCCAGTGGAAACAGTTTTTCTTGGTTCACCCTATCATATCCTCTCATGATCTTGAAAACCTCTATTAAATCCCCTCTTAATCTCTGCTCTAGGGAGAATAATCCTAGTTTTGCTAACCTTTCCTCATAACTAAGGTCCTTCATTCCCTGGTACCATCCTGGTAAACCTCCTTTGCACCCTCTCCAATGCCCTAACATCTTTCCTAAAGTGCAGTGCCCAGCAATGCTGTATATTAGACCCAATCTGCATGTACAATTCCCGAATATCTGGCTGCGCCAATTTGTATATCGCTAAAGCTCAGGTTAACAGGAGAAGATAGCACAGTAAAACCCTAACAGTAAATTTGTTTGATTCTGACAATAATATAATTCAAAATAATGCATTTCATTAATTTAGTCTGCTTAAATGTAATATGTAAGAAAAATCCTAACTGCAACCTGCACTGTGGAGAATGTGTACAGTGCCTAATCTGAAATAATTGTGGTGAATGGAGAGGCCACACATGGAGAGGCCACTTGGCAAAGTTACCAGAGGACTGCCCATGCCTGTGAAAATACACCCACACAAATCATTTAGAGAAGAAAAAGGATTGTGAACAAATTGCATAGCAGGCATCTTTCCCAGTGTCCAGGCACATTTCCAAGAGAATGGTACATGTTCAAACACTCTTTCAGCATATGATAGTTAACACTGCATTTGAACTTCTGTTGATGGACATAGCTTCAAGTCTCAGTTGAAGGGTTTTGAACATCTTAAGCATTAAAATAACTGATGCTATTCTACTCAGAATTTCCAAACATTTGCCTTTAATTGGATCACGTGTGGTACTTCTCCACATCGCATGAGTAAGAGACCATATACACTTACCCTTTCTCCTTCTTTTCATCACTGAAGTAAAACAGACGGGATATGTGAAAAAGAAACTCCACAAAATAATGTAGCACCAGAAGTACCAGGCCAAAACGGTTTAGGCTAGAAAATGTTTAAAAGAAAATTATTCAAAATTTATTTTGCAAATCCAACAAGAAATAAATATTTTTTCTTGGAAGTAAATAACCCTACTCACAAAAAATGAACTCAAAGAGCTGGAGTCTCAAAAGTTGCATATAAAGCAAGTATAGACAGGTATCAAAATAGTATCAATCAATACGGTTGATCTTAGTAGACTTATTACAGTTGAATTTTGTCTATGTTATTCACCTTTTGTCATCTATCGCACAACAGCTTTTGAGACTTGGGTTTTGTTCAAACTATGTTGATTTTGTAAAAAAAAGCAAGACTCACTTTAATATATAAGCTCCAGCAATGTGGAAGATGTACAAAGCTGTGTACAAAAGCTGCCGAGGAATATCCTCCTGGAAATAGACAAATGACAAATTAGCAATACAGAACCCACATGGAGCTTTGAAGAAATATTATAACAGCCCTTTATGTGCTGCAACATCACTCAACCAAGTACAACTCCTTTAACTAACCAAATCCAGTCTGTCTGTTCCTTTTCACTACATTTTTAAAGAGTGTAATAATTTATCATCAGTTAGGGGCGATATAATGATCAATACCCCAACATGGAACATTGTATCTTTATCATTTAGTTGTTCAAACAGACATTTGCTATCTATTGAAGATCTCTAGATGGTAAGACGTCAAATAAGCTTCTAATGACTAGATACAGCAGTCCCCAGCATGTTATTGTAAAATCATTAATTAAGCAGTGCAATCATTTCTATTCAAACTCGTATAAATGGTAAGCTTGCGCTAACAAACTACTGCATCTTCCTTGTTGAACACACAATATTTTCCACTAGATTACTAACGTTATCAAATAGATTAAAGTTAGATTTTCCCTCTTTTTTTAGGTTTTAAAATACTTTCCAAATTCAAGCTTGAAAAATGATATCAGTTTAGGATTTTGTGCATTCTCTGAAAGAGATTTGTGATGCTTTTTTTTAAACCAAGAACTGCCAATGGAACAGGGTTTACAATGCATTTAGGACAGTTTTTTCTGGACAGGAAGGACAGGGATGACTGTATTAATACACCACCCTTTTTCTCGTCCACCACCTCTCTAATACCAACTAACAAGGTCTAACTTGTGCTGTGCTTCGCTGATTTATAATAGAAAACTTTAAATTTCAATATTTGAAAAGAATAGACCATTTTAGCAAAATAAATGCAGAATTTATGCAGCTTTAGGTCACGGAGAACTGGTGCAACTTCCTGGTTAACTATCAGTGGAGTCCTGTAGCTCAGTGGTTAGAGCACTCGCCTGGCAAGCGAAAGACCTGGGTTCAATTCCTGGCAGGGCAAAATGTTAGGCAAGTTTCCTTACTCCACACACGCCTCTGTTTACCTAGCAAGTAAGTAGGAACCTGATTATTAGTCGATTGGCCGATTGTTTTCTGGGTTTAATAATCCCTCAAAAAAAAATTTGGTCGAAAATTAGTTTCTATAAAATATATGTATCAACATTATCTTTACCCAACATTCTTTGTTCATTCTCTCATCATTCCTAATATCGGATTGAATTCTGAAATTGTGCATGAAAGAAAACTAAAAACAGATGCCTCACCTTTCTGGTTTTCTGAAAATAAAGTTCTGGCAAGCCATGTAACCAGTAAGCCAACTGAGCAATGTAGAAAAATTTCACCTGAAATCTAAACAGAGAGAATACAAAACAACATCAATATAAAATAAACATGTGCACTGAAACCACTGTATGCAAGCTTTCCTGTTGCTTGTCCAGCTAGGACCACCCTACCCGTTGGCCCAGAAGCTGGACTACTGAGACCACCAAAGAGGGTTGGCTTGATCCTGACATTCTGTTGCCAAACAAATTAGTTCTAAGGAGACCCTGCTTCTACCTTCCCCCCTCCCCGTTGCTGCAATGGTGTTTTACAATAAAGTTATGCCAAGTTTGTTTCACCAACAGAAATTATGTAAGTACTCACGGCATTTGTGTATGAGGGTAGCTTTCCCATAAATTTGTGGGATATGTTGCATACTTTTCCTAGAAAAAAAATCAAAAGGGAAAGTTTGCTTCGTTTTTTTTAGGCCTCTTATATACTATATTCAATGAAGACCAATAAATGGAAGTTAAATGTTGAACTTACAGAAGCTAGAATGCATGTCCCCCAGATAAAAGAAACCAGATAAAAGGTACCGAGTTGTCCAGATTCATTGAATTTGCTGTGCTTGGTTTTTGAAAAGTGCATCCGCCTATTGATTTTCTGAAATACAAATCATTGTCATTTTGTAACTGTATGAACCAAGTCCAGGATCGCTTCTGGTCAATTTAACTACGCTATATACTCACATCTAGCACATACTCCTGCAAGATGGCATGGAGAATGATTGCAATCAACGTGTAAAAGAAAACTGTGGCAACGTCTTTAAAACCATAATGGTAAAGAGTAGCCTGTTCAGCCTTTTCATCTACAAAAAACAGAATGAGTTCAGTTTATTGAAAACAAATATTATACAGAACTGAATGCACAGAAAGACTAATGGTAAACAAATGTTTGCACAAAACAAGAACTAATGCTATCAGAAATTAGGACACAGACATAACGTACATAATTATCAGTTGTACAATAATAATGTTTACATTTGATCTAGTGCCTATAACTTCAAAAGTCAAAGCATTTCACAGATAACTGCTGTCAAGTGTAGTGACTGCAGATTTGTAGTCAAACCAACCAGATATTTTGCAAACAGCAAAAAATGAATCTGGAAGATTACTGAGCGGGACCCTGGGAGGAAACTAATTTCTTGTTTCAAATAGTGCAAGGGGATTTTTAATGTCCACTTAAATAGGAAGATGGCTGCCTGGTTTAATGTCTCAAGAAAGGACAGACTGATAATTTCCACAAAATATTTGATAATGTTCAAAAGAAAATTCACCATTAAAGGGTACAGTTGGACAGATAAAAATTGTCTGTTCACTTCATGGCTATTTGTGAGAGATTGCAAGTTGGCTGCAGCATTCGCCTACAAATAATCAGTCAATACACATTACATAAAAATCCTGTGACGATCTTTGAGACCTTATGATGACTATATGAAATGTAAAAATTGTTTTACTACTGCTGAGTCCAATTAGAAAGAAATGGTAACATCACTGAAAGGGAAATAAAGCTCATATAGCAATATGTATATATATATTTAAGCAAAAGTCTCAAATATAAGCAGACCCGTTTTATATTATATAGGAACAATAGCTTAGCAGCTTTGCAAATTAGTTCCTGATTTGGATGCCTAATAGCTACCTCCAAGATAACCGATTTTACTCAGATGAACTTCAGGATGGTTTACACTTGTAGGTACTACAAACAATTAATAAAAATAATAATAATCCCTGCATTTGATATAGCACCTTATCGTGTCTTCGAAATGTTTCAAAGCACTTCACAGAATATACCGCAAAGTGAATTGACTATATTTTGTGGGAGAAATGCAACAGCCAATTGCGCAGAGTAGTGTCCCTTCCCAAACGGTTGTAGATTGAGTGACCAAATTATTTATTTTTTTGAAGGGATCATTACCCCAAAAAAAGCGATCCTCCAATGGATACCAACCAGGTTCCAACTTCCTGCTAGATGAATAGAGGCGTGTGGAGTAAGGAAACATGCCCTGTCCAGGAATCAAACCCAGGTCCTCTCGCCTGCAAGGCAAATGCTCTAACCATGAAGCTACAGGACTCCACTATTAAAACTGGAAACAATGGCAAAGTCATAAAACAAAGACAACTTACCTGTCGTAGGAAATGTAATATTGTACTGGACAGTGACAAACGAGACAGCAATTTTAGCTGTCACCTGTAAAACAAAAATAAAAGAAAAAAGGTCTCCAACTTGATGCTATCTCCCTATCTGATCAATAGAACACAAAATGTATTACTCTACTTTCAAGGCTGCCAGTCAATACAAATCAGACAACATACAGCGGGGTTTTGATGCTGCTCATACATTCTAAAATGTAAATAGGGTTCTGGTTGTTAAGCGCTCCCTTGAGTCAATTCAATCAACAATGCAACAGCCCAACTGATTCTCCCCATCTGTGCTTAACTGCCAAAATGTATTCATTTCCAAAACGCTGCATTGATGATATACTGTATACCTCTGTTGATTTACATGATTACTTGGCGCAAATCATATGTTTGAATCAGAATTATCCAGTTACAGTGTTTGCCGCTTGACATGGATTTTTAAAAAGTCATCAAAACAAGCTTTTTACTTTTCTCTAACTTATCCAGAACAAAATGGTAGGTTAAAAAATACACCTTTGATATGGACAAGGAGCCAATCAGTGTTGAAAGACTGTAGAAGGCTAAACAATCAAATTCAAGTTGTAATTGTGATTAGATATGTCTCCACAAAAGCCAATCCATCCAAGACAGGTGAAGCCTGAAATCTTGGAGGTTTAAGTTTCATTTCCCCTCAGCCTCAAACAACAAATTCAACAGCAGCAAATGTAAAATCTGCTGGAACACCCACTGGGACTTTCTAGGAAAACTATTGAGACTAGAGCTGGTGTAAAGGATTTTACAATGATTTCTGATTGACAGTACATATTAAAAATTAATTCTGTGTTTTAAGTTGGTACTTCTTGTTGTGAACTCACTTGGAATGGAAGTAGTCATCTTGCACTTGAATATTTCAGGTTAATAGTACAAGTAAATGTATTGTTGCAAAGTCTGACTTTTAAACTTGCGTTTAAAAACGAAGGAAGTTCCGATGAGTGAATTATATATTTTTAAAAAGTCAGAAAATGATCCAATACCGTTGTCGTGTGACATGCGACACACTATAAGTGCTGATTATCAGAGACATTAAAATCCTAAATCTGGATTCGGGTGCTCAAAAAGCTTTTTTTCTTCTCGTGAATTGCACTCTTTCAAAAACAGTTTACATATAATAATAATAATCATTGCATTTGATATAGCGCTTTTCACGTCGGGAGGACGTCCCAAAGCGCTTCACAGAATATACTGTAAATTGAATTGACTGTATATTTGTGGGCGAACGCGGCAGCCAATTGCGCACAGCAATGTCCCACAAACAGTCGTAGATTGAAAATGACCAATTTTATTATTGTTTTTTTTGATTTTTGGAGGGATTATTATTAGGCTCTGTGTGGAGTAAGGAAACTTGCCCAAGGTTTCTCCCTCTGCCTGGAATTGAACTCAGGTCTCTCACTTGCAAAGCGAGTGCTCTAACCACTGAGCTACAGGACTCCACATATATAATGTATATACATTTTTTTTTAAAAAGTTGCACTTGCAATAAAAAGTCGAGGCAGCAGGAGAAGGGCTAAAGTCACACATGTCTGAAAGCAAAAAAAAAATGGGGTTTGCTTGCAAATTCAAAAGGAAATTTGAGAGACACATTAGAGAAGGTGGTGGGGGGGGGTAAGGAGGTGTATAACAAAAGGAGGTGGTAACCCTGTGGCTGTCCCTCTCCAAACAGCACCAGACAAGTCAGTTGTACACGTCAACCCAAAGCCACAGTGGCTCCAGGTGGCAGGAAAAGCTTCGCCTCGCCCCCGCGCACAGCACTCTGGGAGTTGTAGTCGGCAGCCGCGGCCCCGCTCACTGCGCGGCATCGCCGAGCAACTCCAGCTCCCAGCGGCCCCCGCGCTCACCCACCGCGAGCAATGAAGGGTCTGCGGCGGAGAAACCGAGAGAGAGGGAGAAGCCTCCACCCCCGCCTCGGCCCCGGCTGGAACCCCGCCATCCCGGGAGGGGGAGAGGGCGTGTGGATTAGCGACCCGCGGTGTCCCCGAAGAGACGCTGTGAACGGCTGGTCCAGCACGGCTGCGCCGGCCTGTTTGCCGGAGGCTGCCGGCCCCGGAGTGCCACGTAACCGCCCCCCCCCACCCCGAGCGAGCGGCCGCCCGGCGTCAGCACCGAATTAGAAACTTCCAGAAAGACGCGGCGCTCAGCCCCGCGGCGCGGGAGCGGGAGGGGTGGGTGTGGAGAGGAGGGATGGAGCCCGCGGTCTCCACCACCGGGGCAGCCACAGCTCACGCAGCCGCCTGGACCTGCACCTCGGCCCGGCCTCGTCCCCTCGGTAAACCGCTCGGCAGCCCCGCGCTCACCTCGAACATCAGTCCGAGCAGGAAGACCATGGCGAAGCAGGACACGATGTCGGCGTGGTTCTGGATCACGAACTCGTGGCTCAGCACGGGCGGGCTCTTGGTCTTCTTGCGCAGACCCATGGCGTTCGGCAGCTTCACCCGCGGGAGAAAATGAGCGGAGGGAGACTCACGGGCTCTCACTACTGTCCGCGGCTCACCACGCCCCTCCCTCCCCTCCCCTCCCGCCACGGGCTAACCGTTAGACTCCGCCTCGGTCACTCTGAGCCCACAGCGCCCCCTACCGTCAGCTAATCAGACTCTGGCCACACGGCGGATCTGGATGGCTCCACATATGCGGAAACCCAGCACCGTCTGCTCCAGTACCCAAAGCAACGACAAGAGGTCAACCCTCTGTGCGACACCTACACATTAAACCGAGCAGTCGGGCCGACGAGAGAACGTCCTATGATAAAATGTTAGCAGTTTTAAATCTAAAATTATCTCAATCCAACATTATCTTCAAGTATTATATTGCCCTCTTGTGGCAGACATTGTTCTAACTTCTTCAAAATCTACTTATTTTTCTTGGTGGAGTCAAATTGCTTAAGTATCCCTTATCCCTGAACAACCAAATAAACGTAATGGGATATTATTTATATAAACCTGGGTATTTGGGATGGTGACCTGAGATGGGGCAACAAACGTATGACAAACAGAGAAGAACAATACTACCTGAGCCTCAGCTGACACCAGAAGAGAGAACTGGCACTGCGTTGCGCCAGACAGTGTTTTGTGGGATGAAAGCAAGAAGGGCTGATACTGCGGAGTCCCACAGTCAGGTACTTGTGAAGGAGGCATTTATTCAGTGCTGTCCATGCCATTTTGCATAATTTACCCACAAGGTTTTTATATATCAACAATGGGGTTGGTCTAAAATAGGGTACATATTAGACTTTCCAGTATACTTTACTGACCACTCTAAAATTCTGAAAAAAATATACACACAATGTTCAATTTGTCATGGTGTCTAATTTATTCAATACATTATCATGAAATTGTGTGATTTAGAAAGATTATTGTTTTACATTAAATATGGTTTCAATAATTTTGCCACTCACAAAATAGTCAATTTATAGTATATTCTGTGAAGCGCTTTGAGATGTCGAGAAGACGTGATGAGGTGATATATCAAATACAAAGATTACAAATATAGTTGAAGACTCTTAAGAATATTGTTTCAATTATACTTCTTTCATTTTCAGACTAGCTAGTAATGAATTAGAAACTCTGTACATACTACCCTTTTGTAATCCAGAACTGTCTCTGTAGCATTGCTTCACTCTGCAAACATGTCGATATATTTGTAATTAGAAAAACATAATACTTTGTACATCTCACGACTTTACATCCTTATCAGATCCATTTTAATTTTTAATTTTAATTTTACATCCTTAACAGATCCAACTTAATTTTTTATTTTATCGTTTTTCAGACGATCACTTGAAAAATCAAATTGACACAGCCTGGATCAAATATATTGAAGTCATCTCATCTATTTAAAAAGAGCTTGTGGATGAGATTTACAGCATACTTTTCCAACTTTGGGATACATCATTTTTCACTGCAAAACAAAATGACAGGTATTTTCACCAATATGATGTTTACAACAAAACTGTTCTGTTAATAATTATCAGTGAGACTAATTCAAAGATTCTCTATTCTATTAATTCACATTTTACAGCTGTAAAATGTTACAGCTTTTATAATCATGTCAACATTAAAGTGGTTAACAGCAAATTTAGTAACTCTATACTTGTACAGAAACACAGGTAAACGATTATACAAGCTCCCTGACTCAGTGCGAGAATGTGCAATCAAAATTTTTACATCTGCAGCCACTGGCCACAAATAAATCTAAAACTTACTAATATTAATTTTATAAATATGTTTGATGATTTATATATGTGAACCCACAAACTAGGAACTTAGGAGTTAAAGTTGGGTTCAATTTTTTTTAATGTCACATTTTCCATGGTTGAGAATACTCACTTAATTTTCCTTCTTTTCTTAGCTTTGTCAAGTGATGATTAATGTTATTCTCTGCTGCTTGATGTAAATGTTCAGGAGTATCCTATTGGAAACAAAAAACATACTGTACATGGAGTTGCTCTAAAGGGTTTTATGCCATAAGTTATGTATGATTTTGGCTTCAACATTACTTGATATTTTGTAGTTCACATTTAAATAAGAAATAAGGTTTACCTTGTAAATAATTTTAACAAGGTCTTCAGAGGTCAAAAACTTCCCTGATTGCTGCTCGAAAATCTTTAAAATTTGCTGTTCTCTCGAATTTCTGTGAGCTATGTATGCTCTGATTTTATCAGCTGCAGCCTGTATAACTGGGCCATGTCCTAGAATTCAAATTAGGCATAGAAATTAATTTCAAAGCAGCAAACCAATTCAGATGACAATGAGCATTTATGAAAGTCAATGCACCTAAGTCCTGGTCACTGTCTCCATTCTAGTATGAATTGTGACACATCTTGTTATGTAAAGTTTCAAGACAATAAAAACTTGCATTTTATAGAGCCTTTCATGCAGGATAATTTCTAGGAGTGCATAACAATGGCGGAGCCTGACTCCGAGTTGGGGGGAGGTGACAATAAACACAGTCGAAGAAAAAAGCCTACAGGTCTGATCTGAAAATGGGGAGTGCCCCTGGAACTGCCATCCCAGCCATGACCACACAGCCTGCGGGCTGATGCCGTCCCACTGATAGCTCGCTCGCAGTCTCTGCGTGCGCGTTTTGGCTGCCTCCCCGGCTTCAGCCTCCTCCTCCACTCTAAATTCCTCTTCTCCCACCCCCCTCTATCTGGTACTCCCCCTCCGTCCTTCTCTTCCACCGGCCTCCCCGCCATTCTCTCTGTCCTTGACCCCATCACCACTTCCCTCTGCTCCAACCTGGGCATCCTCCGTCGGGTCCATCGTGGCTCCCGGCACTGGCTGTCCTAGAGCAGCAAACCCAAGTGTTCCATCATTCACTCCCTCCGCTCAAACCGCCTCCTTAAGACAAACCCAACTTCCCCCTCATATGTACCCTCCCCAACTCTCCACTCACACCACTCTCCACAGCCATCTCTCCTGTACACCCAAAAATCCTCTCCGCATCACTCTCTCCTCCCTCTCCTCCCTCCAGCAAACCCACCCGCATTTTCCTCCAAAATAATAATCCTTACATTTGATATAGCGCTTTTCATGTCTTCTCGACATCTCAAAGCGCTTCACAGAATAGACTGTAAAGTGAATTGACCGTACACTTGTGGGCGAAACGCGGCAGCCAATTGCGCACAGCAGTGTCCCACAAACAGTTGTGGATTGAAAATGACCAATTTTTTATTATTGTTTTGTTTTCGAGGAATTATCATTAGGTGCGTGGAGTAAGGAAACTTGCCCATTCCCTCTCAAACAAAGCCCTCACCATCCACAACCTCATCCTGGACGAGCAACTTGACATTATTGGGCTCACTGAAACCTGGCTCTCCCCCAATGACCCCGTCCCCCTAGTTGAAGCCTCCCCTCCAGAATACACCTTCCACCACACCCCCCGTCCAAACCAACGTGGCGGCAGGGTGGCCTTCATTTCCAAAGCCTCCCTTGGTCTTACCCCCTACTCCTCTGGCTGCTTCCCCTCCTTCGAGCACCTCACCCTCTTCCATCCCTCTCTTCCACTGAAAATCCTTTTTGTCTACCGTCCCCTGGCTCCTTCCACACAGACATCTCTACTCTCCTCTCTTCCCTGTCCCTCTGCTCTGAATGCCTGCTCATAATAGGCGATTTCAACCTCCACCTAAACTCCCCTTGCACCACTTCTGCCCACTTCGCTGCACTCCTCTTTTCCCTAAACCTCACCCTTCACATAAGTTCACCTACCCACAACCGTGGTCATACCCTTGACCTCGTCATCACCCACGGCCTTGACATTTCCGACCACTTCCTCATCTCCTTCTCCTCTCACATCCGTCTCACCTCCACCAAGCCCTCAACCATTCTCTACTGCCTTTGGAAAAGACTACCCCCTCACAAAGGCCCTCACATCATCAAATATCCTATCCCTCTGGCCTTCCACCCACAGAGATCCTGAAGCAGCCATCCAGCTGCTCCATGATCGCCTCTCCTCCACCTTCAACTCCCTCGTCCCCCTGAAATCCAGGACCATCTCCAAACCCACCCGATCCCCCTGGTACATCCATCTCCGCTGCCTAAAAACCCAAACTCGGCTGCTCGAGCGCAGATGGCGGAAAACTGGCCTGAGCAACAACAATCAGGAGGACAGAGCCAGCCAGCGGCGACGGGTGGTGGAGTGGGGCGTGGAGAAACAGGGAGGTACCAGGGCATGAAGGGACAGTTAATGTCTACATCAGGCTATTGATTCCAACTCATCCATACCGGTATTTCTACTGCCCATGAGTCTCCTTCCAAACATCCCAAACCCCCTTTGCTACAGTTCCCCCATGCTCCTCTACTCCCTTGTCTCTCAGGTGTACATTGAGTTTTCTCTTAAATAGATTGATGCTTCGTGTTTCAACTACAGCTTCTGGTAGTGAGTTCACATTCTCACCACTCTCTGTGTAAATAAGTTTCTTCTGAACTCTCTTAGATCTGTTAGTATAATGGCTATCTTATATTCATGCCTCCTTAAGTTAACAATTGAAAGCTGTCTTTATGTTCACCTTATCTACCCTCTTCATGATTTTAAACACCTGTCAGGTCCCAGGAAAAACTGCCTTAACCTGTCCAATGTTTTCTGATAGTTGTATCCTTCCAAAATACACATTTTGGTGTTGTGATAAGGTGCTAAATCAAATGCAAGGATTATCATCATCCTAGTAAATCTACGCTGCACTGTTGCCACTGTTACAATATCCTTCTTGTACAACAGAAATAATAATTTTATATTTATATAGTGCTTTTCACATCGAGAGGACATTTCAGAGCACTTCATAGAGCTGACTGGGAACCTGAACAGGTGGGGGGGCGGGGGGGGAAGAGTTCAGGATGGTGGAAGGGAGGGGGAATGGCAGAGGATTCCATGATGAAGTTTAGAGAGGAGCAAATTAACTGCAAGTCACCAAGGAGAACATATACATGGTGAACAGAAGAAGACTGAGGATAGAGCCCTGAAGGACACCACAACATTGTGTAGGGATTGGAGGCAGAAGCTGGTTAAACAAATAAAGTAAAGAAGCAAGGATAGATTAGAATGAATCCAGGAAAGGACAGAATTGTTGAGGTGGAGCAGGGAGGTGAGTCATACATATAAGTCTACATACAAGTTAGAATTATGAGCAACAAAATTGTATGGAAGAAATTCTACAGGTATTCTGTGGTAAAAATGTTGTGGTGCACCAGCAACAGTTCTAGTGCTCCTAGTATACAAATGGAAGGTTTAAGCTACTGCTTCAGCTTCAAGGCATCCAATGGTCCTGCTATGGAATTATGAGCAAAATTCCTGTATGAATTTTGTTTCTTCTTTTGCCTTTATAAAAACAAGGAATTCAGCAGATTGTTTAGAGCTGTAGAATCTATAACTCAACCATCTTCGAGAATAGAGGGCAAATTTTGTGGCTCATCCAATAAGGAGACTTACAGAATTCCTGTTATTTGGGATTGTAGCAATAAGGCCAACAATACTGGGACCTACAATTTTGGAGAAAGCTTCAGAAACTCCTCTCAGCATGATATTCATAATAATAATAATAATCCTTGCATTTGATATAGCGCTTTTCACGTCGGGAGGACGTCCCAAAGTGCTTCACAGAACACACTGTAAAGTGAATTGACTGTATATTTGTGGGCGAACGCGGCAGCCAATTGCGCACAGCAATGTCCCACAAACAGTCGTAGATTGAAAATGACCAATTTATTATTGTTTTTTTTGGTTTTGGAGGGATTATTATTAGGCGTGTGGAGTAAGGAAACTTGCCCAAGGTTTCGCCCTGACCTGCCTGGAATTGAACTCGGGCCTCTCGCTTGCAAAGCGAGTGCTCTAACCACTGAGCTACAGGACTCCACATGATATTCATAAGTGTCTATATATCATATGGAACTTGTAGGAAATAGTTGGAAGGTACCAACAAAGTGCTGCCGAGAAGAAATTAATACTTAATTGGTTTATTTAACTGGCTCTATTTCAAAAATATTGAACAAAGGAACTTTCCAAAATATTTGAATATTTGAAAGCATTAACTTCCTTTCATAATGAAACAAAACATATTCTTGAGTGAAGAAATAAACTGTTAAGAAGATCTATTTACCTGGATATATTAAAGCAGGTTTTAAAGTGAGTAACTTCTCCAGAGACTGCATATAATCATTCAAATCTTCAAAGACTGTTGTTCCTTCTCCTAGAATACAGTCTCCAGAAAATATCGCATTTTCCTCTTTTAGTATTAATGACATATGATCACTGGTGTGTCCAGGTGTGTATACAACCCTAAAGCAAAAAAAGTTAGTGAAATTAATACAAGTTATAATTATGCTTGAACTTGCAAATAGTACCTTACATGTTAGAACTTCTCAGAACACTTCACAGGATTTAGTATTCCCATAGTGTAGTGGTTAGCGCGCTCACCTCGCAAACAAGAGGCCCTGGGTTTGATTCCCAGGCAGGGTGAAACCTTATATAATAATAATCCTTGCATTTGATATAGCGCTTTTCACGTCTTCTCGACGTCTCAAAGCGCTTCACAGAATAGACTGTAAAGTGAATTGACCCTATATTTGTGGGCGAAATGCAGCAGCCAATCGCGCACAGCAATGTCCCACAAACAGTCGTGGATTGAAAATGACCAATTTATTATTGTTTTGTTTTGGGATTATTATTAGGCGTGTGGAGTAAGGAAACTTGCCCAAGGTTTCGCCCTGCCTGGAATTGAACCCAAGTGTCTCGCTTGCAAGGCAAGTGCTCTAACCACTGAGCTACAGGACTCCACACGAGTTTTCTTACTTGCCTATGTTTGTTTATCTAATCGTAAGTAGAAACCCAGTTGTTAGTTGATTGGCAGATCGCTTTCTGGGGGAATAATCTCTCATAAATTTGAAAAACAATTGGTCACTCAATCCACGACTGTTAGTGGGGCACTACTGTGCTCAATTGGCTGCTACGTTTCACCCACAAAATACAGTCAATACCTTTTACAATATATTCTGTGAAGTGCTTTGAGACACCTCAATAAAGTGAATGGCACTATATCAATGCAAGGATTATTATTATTTACTGTAAAGTATAGTGACTGGCTTTGGAAGGCAAACGTGGCAGTCAATTTGTGATAACAATGTCCCACAAACAGCTATGCAATGCACAACCAATTTTATCTGTTTTTATTCTCCCAGGACACCAGGAGAAATTCCCTTCTCTTTTTGATTGTGCCACGGGATCTGTAAAGTGCATCTGAATAAGCAGATCGGACCTTGGTTTGATCTCTCATCAACACTGTTTGGAGTGTCAAACACTTGGCAAAACAGAACTCCCAACAACAATTTACATGTAATCAGTGCCCTTCACACTGGGTAGCATCTTGGAGGGCTTAACAATGGCGGATCTTGACCCCGAGCTGGGGAGAAAGGGCACAGTCAAAGAGGAAGATCTTCAGGTGTAATCTGAAAATGGGCAATGTGAAGGGTTTTCCAGAGTTTAGGGGCATAGCGGCTGAAAGCACGTCTGCCACATTTTATGTAATATACAGTGGATAATATAGTAATATTGCACTCATATACATAGTTCAGATAACACTAAACTTCCAATAACAGTTTTAAAGTTTCATGAGCTTTCAGTAACAACTATTTGAAAAAATTGCTTCACATTTCCCACATTAAACTTCAGTTTGAATGGTTTCTGCATAACACTGCACCTGTATATCACAATGTAAGAAACAGCCAATGAAATTGTTTTCAATGACTTCACGTTATTAAAATTGTATCAAGCTATTGGTTCTTGCTTTCAATGATTTCATGACTTATTAATAAACAGAGAAATGCTTGCTATTTAAAGTACCTAAGTGTGGCTCCCTCGGTTTCCAATACATCTCCATCTTTTAGATATGTGTATTGTATGCCATCTTCTCCTATGGTTTCTTCTTTAGGTGGCTGCTGTGAAAGTTTGCTGATGTGAACTTTAGTACCTGAATACAACAACAACAAATTGCATCTATACAGTGCCTTTCAGAAGCACATCCCAAAGCGCTGGACAGTGAAGCGTAATCACCTTAGCTGGAGGCTGTTGTCAAAAGGGGTGGAGGTGCGAGGATGCAGTTGTAGAGGAAAGTCTTGAGACGGGCCTTGAAGGAACCAAGGGACGGGGCAAGGTGGAAGGATTCCAGGATGCAATTCCAGAAAGTGGGGGTAGAAAGGCTGAAGGCCCGACTTCCGACGGTGGAGCGAGCAGGGTGGGGGAGATGAAGCAGGCCAGTGCCTGACAAGTGAAGAGAATGGACCAATTGGTAAATATTTAGTAGGTTGCAGATGTGGGGAGGAGCAAAACCATAGGAGGGGGGGTTTAAAGGTGAGGACCTTGAACTCAATTTTCTGGGGGAATGGGGAGCCAGTGAAGCAGGATGGGGCTGCTTGGCTCAAGAATCTTAGTACAGGAAAGGATATGAATAATCTACAGCTTGTGGAGGGAAGAGTGGGCAAGTTCAGCGAGCAGGGACTACAATCATAGTCAAACATAATGAAAGTTTGGTTGAGGTGTACTTTGTTAATAAAGCAACAACTTGCATTTATATAGTGCTCTTCATGCAGAATAATAATAATAATCCTTCTATTTTATATAGTGCTTTATCCGGATTTGAGATATCTCAAAGTACTTCACAGGATATAATGTGAAGGGGATTGACTATGTATTTTGTGGCTGAAACGTGGAATATGCGCACAGCAATGTCCCACAAACAGCCATGAAGTTTATTTGGGGGATTATTGGCCAGGACACCGGGTGAAACTCCCTTCTCTTTTTGAATAATGCCATGGGATCTTTAACATTTACCTGAACAGATTTAACTTCTTATTTGAAGAACTGCACCTCTGATATCCCGAGCACTGCATTGGAGTATCACTTTAGACATGGGATTTGAACCCACAACCTTCTGACTCAGATGCGAGAGTGCTATCACTATGCCAGGCTGACGCACAATAGCATTTCCTATTTAACAATATTTATTTTTGGATTCAAAAATCTGAACAGCATGTCCAAAATTAGGCACATGAAATTTACAATTCATTAGATTTTTGGAATATGCACATAACGTACTATATAAAAGCAATAGTCTATCAAGTAAACTAATAATGATCACAAACAATTCTTAATTGTTCAAATGTATTAGTTTGTTAGTGAGTGATGTTGAGTTAATAAAACATTTAATGGGCGAGGAGAAGTGACTGATGGCATCAAGTCAAACAACAGGAAACAGACTAAATACTGACGGATCTGGTTAGATGAGGAAGTTATTCTTGCAAGTGACACACATCATTTAATAATAATTACAGTCCTTACATTTGATGTAGCGCCTTATCACATCTTTGAGATGTCTCAAAGAGCTTCACACAATATACTGTAAAGTGAATTGACTGTATATTTTTTGGACGAAACGTGGTAGCCAATTGCGCACAGTAGTGTCCCACAAACAGTCGTGGATTGAACTGGCCAATTTATTATTTTATTTTTTTGAAGGAATTTTATCCCCGGAAAAGCGATTTGCCAATCGACTAACAACCAGGTTCTTACTTACTGCTAGTTAAACAGATGCGTGTGGAGTAAGGAAACTTGCCCAACATTTCGCCCTGCCAGGAATCAAACCCGGTCTCTTGCTTGCGAGGCGAGTCCGCTAACCACTGAGCTACAGGACTACACTAATGTGGATAGTGCTGACTAGTGAAGATGAATAACAATGGGAATACATGAGAAATGTTGAAAAGGCTACAGTATACAAAACAGTGGAGTGGATACCTCGAGCTTAAACAAGGTAGTAGTTTCACACTACCAATCATGCATACAAAGATAGAAATACAGCAGTGATGTTTTTAATTACTAATGACTTGCAGATAGCTCACCGTAGCCTACTCACCATTAGTAACATTTTTCAATATATCTGATATGCCTCCAACATGATCAATGTGCCAGTGCGTTACCAGAATTTCCTGAATACTGGCATTTAATTGAGTCAGTGTTTGTTTCAAAAACCTGATGTACTCAGGTACTGCTGGTTCTCCTGTGTCAATCAGAATTCGACTGTAGGATAGAACATTTATTTTAACGTTAACCTTCTCAAATATGAGATGGAAATGCATATAAGGTGGTTAATAGTTGGAGTAGGAGTCAGGGGCTCAAGATTACAATTATGATAATTAAAGATTATCAATGACACTTCCTGCATTTCGTCCACAAAATATACAGTTGATTCCCTTAACAGTATATTCTGTAATTTGTTGTGTTGACAGTGCTGGTGTGTGTGTGTGATGGTGTTGACAGTGTTGGTGTGTGTGTGGTGGTGTTGTATTTTAACAACATGTCACTTATTTGTGTGTGATGGTGTTGACACCGGTGCGTGGTGGTGATGTTGACAGTGCTGGTGTGTGTGTTGACAGTGCTGGTGGTGTGTTGACAGTGCTGGGATGTGTGTGATGATGATGTTGACATTGGTGTGTGTGGTGGTGTTGACGCTGGTGTGTGTGTTTTGTTGGTGTGGATGGTGGTGGTGACAGTGCTGGTGTGGGTGGTGATGGCGACAGTGCTGGTGTGGGTGGTGGTTACAGTGCTGGTGTGGGTGGTGGTGGTGGTGACAGTGCTGGTGTGGGTGGTGATGGTGACAGTGCTGGTGTGGGTGATGGTGACAGTGCTGGTGTGGGCGGTGATGGTGACAGTGCTGGTGTGGGTGGTGGTGGTGACAGTGCTGGTGTGGGTGGTGATGGTGACAGTGCTGGTGTGGGTGGTGGTTACAGTGCTGGTGTGGGTGGTAGTGACCGTGCTGGTGTGGGCGGTGGTGGTGACAGTGCTGGTGTGGGCGGTGATGGTGACAGTGCTGGTGTGGGTGGTGACAGTGCTGGTGTGGGTGGTGATGGTGACAGTGCTGGTGTGGGTGGTGGTTACAGTGCTGGTGTGGGTGGTGGTGACAGTGCTGGTGTGGGTGGTGGTGGTGACAGTGCTGGTGTGGGTGGTGGTGACAGTGCTGGTGTGGGTGGTGGTGGTGACAGTGCTGGTGTGGGTGGTGGTGGTGACAGTGCTGGTGTGGGTGGTGGTGACAGTGCTGGTGTGGGTGATGGTGACAGTGCTGGTGTGGGTGGTGATGGTGACAGTGCTGGTGTGGGTGGTGATGGTGACAGTGCTGGTGTGGGTGGTGGTTACAGTGCTGGTGTGGGTGATGGTGACAGTGCTGGTGTGGGTGGTGGTGGTGACAGTGCTGGTGTGGGCGGTGATGGTGACAGTGCTGGTGTGGGTGGTAGTGACAGTGCGGGTGTGGGTGGTGGTGACAGTGCTGGTGTGGGCGGTGGTGGTTACAGTGCTGGTGTGGGCGGTGGTGGTGACAGTGCTGGTGTGGGTGGTGGTGACAGTGCTGGTGTGGGTGGTGGTGACAGTGCTGGTGTGGGCGGTGATGGTGACAGTGCTGGTGTGGGTGATGGTGACAGTGCTGGTGTGGGTGGTGGTGGTGACAGTGCTGGTGTGGGTGATGGTGACAGTGCTGGTGTGGGTGGTGGTGGTGGTGATGGTGACAGTGTGGGTGGTGGTGGTGGTGATGGTGACAGTGTGGGTGGTGGTGGTGGTGATGGTGACAGTGCTGGTGTGGGTGGTAGTGACAGTGCTGGTGTGGGTGGTGATGGTGACAGTGCTGGTGTGGGTGGTGATGGTGACAGTGCTGGTGTGGGTGGTGGTGGTGGTGGTGGTGACAGTGCTGGTGTGGGTGGTGGTGGTGGTGGTGATGGTGACAGTGCTGGTGTGGGTGGTGGTGGTGGTGATGGTGACAGTGCTGGTGTGGGTGGTGGTGGTGGTGGTGATGGTGACAGTGCTGGTGTGGGTGGTGGTGGTGGTGATGGTGACAGTGCTGGTGTGGGTGGTGGTGGTGGTGATGGTGACAGTGCTGGTGTGGGTGGTAGTGGTGGTGATGGTGACAGTGCTGGTGTGGGTGGTGATGGTGACAGTGCTGGTGTGGGTGGTGGTGGTGGTGGTGGTGACAGTGCTGGTGTGGGTGGTGATGGTGACAGTGCTGGTGTGGGTGGTGGTGACAGTGCTGGTGTGGGTGGTGGTGGTGGTGACAGTGCTGGTGTGGGTGGTGGTGGTGGTACTGTTATCCGTGGCCTAAGCTGAGCTGAACCTCCCACAGTATTTACATACCAGGGCCCTGTGCCCACCAGATAGGTGTTGGTGCCCTGCAGAGTCATGGGCCCCGGGTTACAGCCGAGGATCCGCACGACCCGCGACGACAGTTGCTCCACTTTGGGCAGAAAAGTCATCATGGCGGCCGCGGGGCACAGAGCGCGACGCCGAACTTTCCAGAATCGCTTCAGCAGCAATTCTCGGCGACGTGATGACGCTATCCGGCGTGACGTAAGCACGTTCGGCCGTGCCGGGGAGGGGGCGGCGGGGCGGAGCTCTGCTTCTACCACGTGGCAAAGCTCTGCTCCTTGTATGTGGGCTGAGCATTGCTGTGTTATGTGCTCAACAGGTGCAGGTCTTGTTGGTGACATCTTGTTCATTAGTTCTGTGTCATTCTTTAAATTGTTTTTGTGCATTGTATCCTCTGTGTGGCCTTGGCTCACAAGCCATTTGACACCCTTCAATTACTGTCAATAATAATTATTGTTCGATGGAAACCGTGTCACTTTGAATCGTCTCAGACACCTTCGCGCTTGGGGGAAAAAAGCAAGTTTTTCCTGTAAAGTGTCGTGTCGGTGTACTTGTAGGCAAATTAAACAGCTAATATGTGCACAGCAATGTGAGTGACTCATTAAAGACAGGATTGTCAGGAGACACTCCCTTCTCTTTGAATCTGTCATGAGTTCTTGCAACACCTACTCGAGCAGGGAGAAACGATCTTGGTTAAACAACAACAACAACAACAAGATTACATTGATATAGCGCCTTTCACGTCGGGAGGATGTCCCAAGGCGCTGGACAGTATACAGCATTTCAGACCCGAGCTGGGGTCAGGGTGGGAGAAGGGATTGGAGGGGAAGGGGGGTGACCAATGCTATGGTCAAAAAGGAGAGTCTTGAGGCGGGACTTGAAGGAGGCTAAGGAGGGGGTGAGGTGGAGTGAGTGGAGGATGGAATTCCAGAGGTTGGGGTCAGAGTAGCTGAAGGCTCCCCCCAAAGGTTGGGCGGGTGGGTCAGGGGACGTGGAGCAGGCCCGAGCCGGCTTAGCAGAGGGAATGGGCAGATTGGTAGGGGGTTAGGAGGTCGCAGAGGTCGGGTGGGGCGAGGCCATGGAGGGCTTTGTAGGTGAGGACCAGGATCTTGAACTGGATTCTCTGAAGAATAGGGAGCCAATGGAGTCAGGCGAGAGTGGGGGAGATGGGGTCACGGAGTTTGGTGCTGGAGAGAACGTGGGCTACAGAGTTCTAGATTATCTGCAACCTGTGGAGGGAGGAGTTGGGAAGGCCGACAAGCAGGGCGTTTGCATAGTCGAGCTTGGAGGTGATGAAGGCATGAACAAGAGTTTCAGTTGCCTGAGGGGTGAGGTAGTGGCGGAGTCGGGCGATGTTACGGAGTTGAGGGAAGGCAGAGCGGGTCATGGCTTGGATGTGAGGAAGAAAAGACAGTTGAGGGTCGAACAGGACACCTAGGTTCCTGACTGGCTTGGTGAGTTGTAGTATGCAACCATGGAGGTTGATGCTACCAGAGCCTGAGGTGCAGAGGCGCTGGTGTGAGCCAATCAGGAGGGCCTCAGTCTTGTTCACATTCAACTGTAGGAAATTTGCCCTCATCCAGGACTTGATGTCTGACAGGCAGTCTGTCAGGACAGCAGTGGTCCTGGAGTTGAGGGTGAAGGCAGAAAGATAGAGTTGGGTGTCACCCGCATACATGTAGGAGTTGAACCCATGTCTGCGGATGATGTGACCAAGGGGAAGCACGCATTAAAGAGGAGAGGGCCAAGGACAGAGCCCTGGGGGATGCCAGATGTGACAGTGCGGGGGCTGGAGGAGAAACCATTAGAGGCAACAAAGTGGAGAAGGTGAGAGAAATAGGAATCAAACCAGGCAAGGGCAGGTCCGTGAAGATTGAGTAAAGTGGAGAGACGATGTATGAGGATGGAGTGGTCAACAGTGTCGAAGGTGACAGAGAGGTCGAGGAGGACAAGGAGGCAGAGGGAGCCCTTATCACAGATGTTCAGAATGTCATTAGTGACTTTGACCAGGGCTGTTTCCGTGCTGTGGGCAGCGCTGAGCCGGATTGGAGGGGTTCAAAGAGGAAATAGCGAGAAAGAAAGGAGCGGAGCTGGGACATGACGACTCATTTCAGGACCTTGGAGAGGAGTGGGAGGTTAGAGATGGGGCGGTAGCTGGAGAGAAAGGATGGGTCCAGGGCAGGTTTTTTTGAGATGGGGGTGATGATGGCTGTTTTTAGGAGGGTCGGAACTGAACCGGTGGACAAGGAGAGGTTGATGACGTCATACAGGAGAGGGGCCAGAAGGTGCAGTTGGAAGATGAGGAGAGAGGTGGGGATGGGATCAAGGGAGCAGGTGGTGGGTTTGAGTTTGTGGATAGTCGTGGTGACCTCATTCCAAAAGATGAAAACAAAAACAGAAGTCGCTGGGAACACTCAGCAGGTGAGGCAGCATCTATGGGGAAAGGAAAGTGAGTCAACGTTTCGGGTCCACGACCCTTCATCAGAACTGGGGGTACTCCAATAATCCAGTGCTTCCCGAACAGTGTGCTGGAGTGTCAGCCAAGACCACTAGCTCAACAACAACAACAACAACAAAATTACACTTATGTAGCGCCTTTCACATCGGGAGGACATCCAAAGCACTGGACAATCAATGTTTCGGACCCGAGCTAGGGGTCTGGATCGGGGAGGGCAGGGGGGGAAGGAGAGTGATCGAAGGCGCGGTCGAAGAGGAGTGTCTTGAGTCTCCAACACTGGACATGAAACACAACCTTCTCTCCAAGAGGCATTAGCACTACTAACTGAGCCAAGATCACAGACAATTCCTTCCAATCAATCAAACATTTAAAACAAAGGCTCCTGCCTGCAATGTTTTTGGAAAAATAGCTATTAAAGGTAAAAACAATACAAGCTATAATACAGGGTGACCAAAAGATCAGTGATAACTACCCATTATCTAAAAAAAACTTTAAGACTTGTTTGACATTATAATGATATCACAAACACCCTGTTCAAACAATTCAATTTTATTGTAAACCTGATAAATTACATTGTAGTATTTGCCTATCTCCTGAGCTATTATGCCTCAGTATTTGCTGTAATAATAATAATCCTAGCATTTAACATAGCGCTTTTCAAGTCTTCTAGACGTCTCAAAGCTCTTCACAGAATATACTGTAAAGTGAATTGACTGTATATTTATGGGCAAAATGTAGCAGCCAATTGCGCACAGCAGTGTCCCACAAACAGTCGTGGATTGAAGTGACCAATTTATTATTGTTTTTTTTTCTTGAGGGATTATTATCAAGCGTACAACTCTCATAGTACATTCCCTAAATTTATTTTACTGGTGGGAGGAGTGATGACCGAAGAACCATCTCATTACAACTTTTAGATTTAAAGAATCCAAGACAAAATATTTAAAATAAATTTTAGTTCTTGACCCCAATCTGACCCATACCTGGTATGGATGGCTCAATCTCCAAAACTGCAGCAAAGGAACTGTATCCTGGAAATTTCTATATGAACATTTTCCTATTTACAAAATTGCTTGCAGTATGATCTGAATGCCAAGTTTTCTCAATTGGTTTCCTTTCTGACCTGTTTTCTTCCCAGCAGCCGCTGCCTCCGCTCGGCTGGCTCTGACCTCCTGCTTGTCCCTCGTACCCCCGTACCCTCCGCTCCACCATTGGCGGCCACACCTTCACACCGCGCCCCAAAGCTTTGGAACTCGCTCCGCCAATCCCTCCGCCTTGTCCCCTTCTTCCCCTCTTCTAGATCATGATGGGAGACCTTTCGCTTGGACCATGCTGATGGTTAGATGCTACAGTACATTTGATTGGGACACATTTATCTTTTTGATATTGGTGACAAGCGCTGACCAGTCGGGCTGTGGGTTGACCCGGGCATTGGTTCTGACAGGGTTACCACAACCAGAATCGTGTGGTGACCAAGACGATGGAAATATGAATGGCACCTTTGCAATGCATAATGCAATCAGTTTATGACATCTGTGGCACTGCGGAAGCGAAACTTTGCGAAACCGAAAGTTGGGAGTTTGGTAATGTATTAGGACATCAGCGACTGCCTTCGAAGAAGTGCAGTGAATTCCCCCACATGCAGCATTTTTTTTTTGTGTGTGTGCGTGTGGTTATCTCACTGAGCATCATTTTGTCGTTGCTGTGACCCTGGGCGGATCGTACGATGAATACCGTTTCGCACTCGGACACCAAACTATAGATCAGTCGCCGAAGGATCGAATGAGCTTTGCCATCGCCCTGAGCAAAGCTGAAACAGAGGCAGCGATAGGTATTCACATGATCCTCACATGTATTTATCCTCAGGGCGCGGTGCCACATTGACAGAGAACCCCCTCACACACGTTATGGATTGGGAATCGGACAGATTGACGCCCTGATCATGAGCAGTGAGGGTCGCTTCGGGAGGTTTGACTTCACGATGGTTGTGACAGGATTGTTCCTGTACGTGGGAGACGTGGGTACCGACCTTTGGGTCGCGCTGTCCTTCTGGAGAGAAGGGAGGGTTGTGTGGTTCGCTTTGGTGTTGGGATCGATGCTCCTGGCAGCTGTGACCATCCAGATCTTCAGCCTGTCCTGGCATTGCGATGACCAGAAGCAATCTCGCCAGAATGGCTCAGAAAGCCAACCCCCCCCCTGCCACCATTATTGTCGAATGCCTTTTTTATGTCTGGGATTACTCCACGTTTTTCAGATGGGAATACCAGTGAGGTAGGTGGTTTCAATGACTTTGATTGGGGTCAAGAACTGTCCACCCTCCCCCCCCCCCCCCCCCCACCCCCCCATCTCTTTTTTTTTCTGAGGCTGAAGAGCCCCAACTTATTTCGTTGTTCTTCACTTAGACAAAACATTCCATTTATTTTACTGTGCAACCATCCTATTTACGCTAATAAAGAATGTTTTTCCAATTGATCTTTTTAAAAAAAATCTCTCAACTCCTCGCTCACTCGTCCACCTTAGTGGGACCGCGCTCGCGTGGTTCGAGACCTACTTAACCAATCGCCTCCATCTCATCTCGGCAAATGGTTTCTCCTCACGCTCCCACCTGTACCCCAGGGCTCCATTCTTGGCGCTCTTCTTTTCCTTATCTATATGCTTCCTCTGGGCAATGTCATCCGCATTGGGGTAAACTTCCACATGTATGTGGATGACACACAAATCTACTTTGCCTCCTCCTGTAGCAAATCCAGGTCCGCCGATGTTTTATCAGCTTCTCTGGCAGACAGCAGGGCCTGGATGAGTGTATACTTCCTGCAGCTGAATATGGACAGGACAGAAGCCATACTCCCTGGCTTGCGTCAACATCTTCACTCCTGCGGATTTAAACTCCTCAACCTCCCCACGCTCTCCCTCAGACTCACCGCAATCTAGGCGTCCAGTTTGACCCCCAGTTGTCCTTTGTTCCCCACATCTGACCAGGACCGCCTTCTTCCACCTCAGCTACATTGCCCACCTCAGACCGTATCTTACCCCAAATGCAGCCGAAACCCTCGTGCGTGCATTTGTCACATCCTGGTTGGATTACTCAAACGCACTCCTCACAGGTCTCCTCAACTTCACCGTTCAAAAGAGCCAACTCATTCAAAATTCTGCCACCCGCATACTGACCCGGACCAAACTCCATACCCACATCTCACCAGTTCTGGCCAGGCTCCACTGGCTCCCCATCACTGAATAGATAGACTTCAAGATCCTCACACTCATGTTCAAATCTATTCACTCTCTGGCACCTCACTAGCTTTCCGACCTCCTCACTCCCTAATCCACCATCTGGCGCCTCCGCTCGACTGGCACCGTCCTCCTGCTCATCCCTCGCACCCTCCACCCCACCATCAGAGGTTGTGCTTTCAGCCACCACGCTTCAAAACTCTGGAACACTCTGCCTTAATTCCTCTACCTTGCCCCCTCTCTCCCCTCTTCAAGTCTCACCTGAAAATTTTCTTCTTCAACCATGCTCATGGCCACCTCCCCCCTCCCCCTGACTCAGAGTCAGGCTCCGCCACTGTTAAGTGCTCTGAGACGCTACTTTGCGTGGAAGGCACTATATAAGTGCAAGTTGTTGTTTGTTGTTGTTAACCCATTGTAATAATAATAATCCTTGCATTTGATACAGCGCCTTATCATGTTGTTGACGTCTCAAAGCGCTTTACCCTGTAAAGTGAGATAGGGTGATCCTCGCTACACAAGCAGTAAGAAGCTTGCCAGTAGTGCTTTCAATGGCAAGCATGCAGTTTTAGTTGGTTAAACTCCATAAGTACTCCAACACATAGGGTCCTCAAGCCTTAGCTCTTACCAACCTTCATCTAATACTCTCAGGAATTAGGTAAGCAGGGTATGTCCCTCCATGGAGTAAGTGCATATTCTTTTCCAGATATTTCAGTGTGTAAGTACATACGTAGAACACTCAATCTGGTTTAGATACGTAAAAGCTTGGTGATGGGTTTCCATATGTGTCTGACAACTGGTTGACCAAAATAAACAGACCTGTGAAAACTGATGCAATCGAATTCCATCGTGGGCACACTTATAATATACAAAAGGTAAAATACTGCAGATGCTGGAAATCTGAAATAAAAACAGAAGTCGCTGGGAACACACAGCAAGTCAGGCAGCATCTATGGAGAGAGGAAAATTAGTTAACATTTCAGGTCAATAACCTTTCATCAGAAAGGTCTGGATATCACTTATAATATAAGCTCACCTGATGTGGAGTTAGATAGTGATGGCTGGAGTGGTGAATACTGTAGCTCAGCTATAATTCCTTTCATACTTCTATAAAATTGGTTATGTTTTATTTTCCAAATGTATCAAACAACATTGATGATCTCCAAAGTGGGACTGAATATAGAGATGAAAATCTGATAAAGGCAACAAACTAAAAGCCATTTATCACACACAAAACTAATATGGGAGAGAAGATGAGTCAAGTTTCTTGTTTCTTTGTTGCAGCATTCTATGATTTTATTTTAATAAAACCAGGCATCACCAAATACACATAAACACTAGAGTAAAGAAGGGAGATGTCTGTGGATGGATACCCCCAGCTTGGTGTCAGGCTCTGCTGCTGATAAAGCGCTCCGAGACTCTACCCCACATGAATGGCGCTATATAAATGCAAGTTGTTGTTATTTTACTCTTTTCAAAATTTTTGTAATCTTTCAAGTTTTTGACTTTTTAAAAAAATCTTTCTTTCACAGAGTGTATCGTGTTCTTTTAATTTCATGGGATGTCAACCCGACGTGAAAGGCGCTATGCAAATGTAATTTGTTGTTGTTGTTCATGCAGTATTTTGCCATTTGTTTTCTGTAATTTGTTTTGTTTGTTAATTTTTTGACCAGTTGATGAACTTAAGTGTTCTCCATTCCCACATACCTCCATTTTAAATGTGCCCACTATTGACTGGAAAAGAACGGGTACCGGTCAGGGAGAAAGTATTTTTTTTCAATTGGTAACTTTAACATATTAAAATGTTATTGTTAAACAAAAATAAAAACTCAATTTGTAACTGTTACTATCCAAACTTACTATTATTTTCCTGCTGAAGCGAAAATCCAATTATATTACTAACCTTAGCATTTAAAAGTTTTGTCTCCTTAATGGCTAGAAATGTTTTTTATTTTTTATATGCTTGAAGTTTCTCACCTACAATATTGATCTCCTATGTTGTAACTGCTCACATTTACCAAGTTCAAGGCTCCCTAAAGGACTTGTTTTTAAGCTATTATAGCAAGATCAAAAGATTTGGATGAAGAAGGCCCTTTGGCCCATTTGATCTCTTCCAGAATATTCACCCCAGCGTCTTCCTATTACAGCAATGAGCTGTTTTTTTAAATGAGTTCCAGTGTACTGGCCTCAACCGCCCTTTTCCTTTATATAATGTAAAAATTCCAGTTAGACACAAAAAATCCCAAAGGCTCCTTCCTGTGTCTCTTGTGTCTACTTTGATTTACCCTCCAATTGTGAAATGTTTTGCCCAAAAAATACCCAGTCAGTACACTTTACAATATAGATGTCTCAACGACGTGATAAGGCGCTATGTCAAATGCAACGATTATTATTATTAAATGTATTTGCATTGAGCAGAATTAAGACATGATTTCCCAATCTGACAATTCAATCTGGAATTTGCGTATATAATAACAAAATATATAATCCTTGCATTTGATATAGTGCTTTTCACATCTTCTAGACGTCTCAAAGAGCTTCACAGAATATGCTGTAAAGTGAATTGACTGTATATTGGTGGGTGTTTTTTGGGGGGTTTTTTCTTGAGGGATTTTTATCAGGCGTGTGGAGTACGAAAACTTGCCCAAGGTTTTGCCCTACCGGGAATCAGAACCCAGGTCACTCGCTTGCTTAAACACTGAGCTACAGGACTCCATAGTGATAAGATCAAAAGGATCTATGGCTGCAGCAACTGGCTGTGGGATTAGGTTTAGCAGTACAAAAAGGATGAGGGTGGAGATAGGGTGGGGTTTGTTGATCTACAGGATTCATTAACTGGGTCATCTTCAGGAGAATAATGTTCCATGTTGTGATAATTATTGTTCGTGATAGTTATTACATCATGCACCACTTCATATATTCTGCAGTCAATTTTTTTTTAGTTGAGAGATTTTGGAAAGTTTCCCTATACTTATTTTCTCATCAGTTTTTGCTTCCCTGTATTTTTAACTCTCTCTGTTTTTACACAGACTTGATGGGCTGTTCTGGGACTCTCGTGGGTATCTCCTATTACTGTTGGCCAAAAGTTACCAGGAATCAGCTTGTCTTTGTCATCTTTAGCCTAAATTTTAAACACATTTGTTACACTTTTTCTAAAAAAAACAACTCTAACGGATTTTAGATAGTGAAATCTTCAATTACATTTTAATTTTAANTTTTTTTACCAGAGTTAATAGTAATAATCCTTACATTGATACAGCACCTTATCATGCCTTTGAGACGTCTCAAAGCGCTTCACAGAATATATTGTAAAGTGAATATTCTGCTAAAAATAATTGTGAGGGCGAAACGTAGTTTAATGTTTCAAAAAGTTGTAATGTTTTGGGTTGAATCCCGATAACATTTGCTTGCAGTGACTAGAGAACAGAACAATTTGAAATCCAATAGCTTGTAGCAAAATGGGCAGTTTCAGGCGGGGTTGGACACACTATTGGCACAAAAGGGTTTGAATTTGCGTGAGCCAGACAGAGATGGTATTTGAAAATGGAACTAGTCAGTTGGATTAGACTGTCCTGTTCTTCTTTCCACCTTCCTACGTATACATAAGTCTTTTTTTACAACCAAGGCAAAATTGAAGGACAGTATTCAACTAAGGATTGGATTGAATTCAAATTCCTGTAATAAGCTTTAATTCATGATGGCAGATCAAATTATCATTAAGCAGTGTTCACACTTCACAAGGCTTTCATTTACAAATGACTGACTTGTCAATTGAGTCAGGCTAAGTATGCTGATCCATTGACTTTTGAATCCAAATTGAACATGTTTTTAAATAGATGTTTTTGAAGATTAAAAAAAATAATATGCATAGCTTGTCACTTAAACTCATTTTGACTATTGGTTGAATGCACCTTTAAATCTTTATTAATAATGCAGCTTTTTCTCCTTTTCTTACAACTACTTATTTTCCACTTCCAAATATCACACAGAAGCATCAGAAACAGCACCCAAAATGGGGTGATTAAACTATAATCTTTTGAACTCAGCAACTAACGGCTACTTATTAGAGTCTTAACATGCTGGGATTTCTAACAGGATTTCTTGTTAAAGAGACTACAAGTATGGCACAATTTAGTTTCATAGCAGAGTTCCCATGAGTCAGCATAATGTGTCTGACAAAGTTCAGTTACATATGTATGTGTGAAGCGATTTGAGACGTGATAAGGAGCTATATCAAATGCAAGGATTACTATTATATCAAAATCAAAGGATAATAGTACTGTAAGGAATCCCAACTGGGGTTGACTTATTGGTGGATCCCATTCTTCAGAGATTGTGTTGGAGCCAAATTCCAGTGGGTCAGCATCAAAAGCATTAGGTTCTCTCTAGGAGTCACACTTTACATCCTGAGCTGGGCTGATATGGATTATTGTGGTAGATTCTCCATTTCTTGGGTGGGGAAGACAGTTGTAAACCAAATAATTATTGATTAACCAACTGGATATCATGCCTCTTCCAAAGTGCATTTATGAAACAACTAGAAAATCAAACCAATGTCAGGTGATTACCAAGTTCATTATGTAGTTAACAACTATATATTTTTTCTTACATTTTCCTTTTTTTTAAATCCTCTTTTACTGAAAAGAGTGGGGTTTGTTTCTTTCCATGAGAAATTCACGAGTTAACTGTGGAAAACATGAAATGTTTACAGGCAAAGTAATAAATTGCCAAAAGTTACGTATAATGCTGGAATGTGGTGCAAAAGGAACAACATTCATTATTTATTATAAGGTAGGGCATTCGATAAGAATATAGCAGATCAGTGATCAGTGATCAGATGTCTGAACACGTTCAGCTTGTCTTGATAATAATAATAATAATCCTTGCATTTGATGTAGCGCTTTTCACATCTTCTCGACGTCTCAAAGCGCTTCATAGAATATGCTGTAAAGTGAATTGACCCTATATTTGTGGGCAAAACGCGGCAGCCAATTGCACACAGCAGTGTCCCACAAACAGTTGTGGATTGAAAATGACCAATTTATTATTGTTTTTTGCTTTGGAGGGATTATTATTAGGCGTGTGGAGTAAGGAGACTTGCCCAAGATTTCGTCCTGCCTGGAATTGAACCCAGGTGTCTCGCTTGCAAGGCGAATGCTCTAACCACGGAGCTACAGGACTCCTAATGAGGAATGAATGCATAAATGTAGATGAGCTTGAGGTTTGCTGGATTGAAATGGGTGCGTCACCCAGCATTGTGTTTTATTTCTGAATAGATTGGGTGTTCTGGAAGGAATGGAGAAGAGAGATTAAATTTATATAATAATAATCCTTGCATTTGATATAGCGCTTTTCACGTCTTCTCAATGTCTCAAAGCACTTCACAGAATAGACTGTAAAGTGAAGTGACCGTAAATTAGCTAAATATGTCAGCTTGGCTCAGTTGATAGCAATCTCATCAGTAAAGACTGTGAGTTCAAACTCTATGTTGGCACTTTCGGCTCTTGTTCTCGGCTGACATGCCAGTAGAGTGCTGGTGGAGTACTATAATATCAGACTTATCAATCTTCGGATGAGGTATTAAACTGAAGCCCCAGCTGCCTGTTCAGGTGGATGTTAACCCGAACCTCTGTTAAGCAATTTGAGGAAAGATGAAAGGAGTTTCTACCAGTGTCCTAGCCAACAATCTCCCCAAATAAATTTGATCATTCACTTCATGGCTGTTTGTGGGACATTGCAGTATACAAAATGGTTGCGTTCACCTTCAAAAATGCAGTCACACTTTACAGTCAATCCTGTGAAACACTTTTAGATATCCATTGGATGTGAAAGGCAAAGATTATTATTATATCTTAAGGTGGGATTTGAAAAGAAAGAGGGAAGGGGCGTGGCGGAGAGATTTCAGGAGAGAGTTCCAGAGAAAGTGTCTGAAGGCCAATTCACAGAGGGCATAAAGCAGACTGGAGTTGACGGAACATTAGAAAAGTCAGGTCTGGAGGTGACACAGGTACGGATGAAGATTTTGGTTGCAATGGAAGTAAGGCAATGACATTATGGAGATGGAGGAAATTGGATTGATTAGAGCCTAAATGACAAGTTTGAAGGAGAGCTGAGAGCTGAACGAAACACAAAGATTCCACGCAGGCTCCATGAGTTGGCTTGTGTTAGTTAATTATTATACTGTTGAAAAATGTCAACATGTTTAGTTGCTGTTTGGACATCGACTGGTCCATGGGTATGACTGCCCCTCCTCCACCCCGACTCCGTCAGAGCTGTTGAGCCTGAAGTTGGCAATGGATTTATGTTAGAATCCTGGATAATGGGATTATGGCTTTTATTAACAAAACAGTAAAGCTGATGTCCTGCTAACCAACATACTGATCCGCAGACTGGGATTGGATTGCACAGCATGAGCCTGCTTTTGGGCCCAAACATTGTGATAAGAATTGGGGAGGGGTGGAGTGGGGGTCATTGGTTCACTAGGTATTTTCGCTCCTTCAATTAATAATAAATGCTCCAGTCTCTTGCTCTGTGTCTAATTAATAATAAAGCTTTTCTTGATGCTGCTTTATCTTCATAAAATATTTTCTCACTTTTAATTTAAAGGATCTTTTTAGTACTGAAATGTGGATATATGACAGCATTTAAAGACCAAGATGATCACTGGAAAGCCATCTACCTAGCAACTGACCTGAGCATGTTGCGATTGTTTGAAGCATTTCTGGAAACTGCTCCTCAACTCATTCTTCAGACCTTCATCCTGCTGCAATATGAGCACAGAAATTATATTCAGTGTAAGTCTGTTATCTTCTAGGTAACAAAAGGTTTGCAGACTTCTTATGCTATGTGTATGCTGCATGTTTGGCTATGAATCACTGTGGGTTTTGGCGCTAGGGTCCACTGGCTCCCTATCGCCAAACAGATTGATTTCAAGATCCTCACACTCGTTTTCAAATCCATTCATGCCCTGCCATCTACATCTCTGACCGATTACATTTTGTCCATCTGGGACCAGGACTCTCTCTGCCTCCGCGTCCTCCTTGACTTCTCTGCTGCCTTTGATACCGTTGACCACCCTTCCTCTTCGACCGTGCCTACAATCACCTCCCCCCACCACCGAATCAATGTTGTGTTCCGCCACTGTCAAGTGCTCTGGGTCGCTACCCTGGGTGAGGGGCTGTTGTTGTTGGTGATGAAGATTCACTGGGAAATATGCAGTATAAATCACAATCGGACTGGAGCCTTGTGTTTTACAGAGAAATGCTATGTAATTGAAGTGATATTTTTCAGTTCAGACCTGACACCGAGGTCCTGTCAGCCGGTTCTTCAGGTGGACATTAATTTTTTTGCTCAGCCGGATATCTGACACATGAAGTAACCCATCATCATGCTTAAGAGTTTCCAAACCAAACTGAGAGCTCCATGTGTCCCACCTACACATGGAAATTCCCGTCTTTGGAATGGAGTATGCACTCTTTCCCTGGAGGGATCTATCCTGCTTTCGTGACATAATTTGAAAAACGAACAGGTTTTTCTGGTGTCTTGGTTAATAGTCATTCACCTCATCCATGTTTCATCCGAAGGTCGGCACCCCTGGCAATGCAACACACCACAAGCACTTGAAGCCACAACCTTCTGATTCAGAGGCGAGAGTGCTACCACTATGCCAGACTTTTAGCTGGTTGGATTCCTCTGGAATCCGCAGGTCTTGGCTCTTGCCTACCTGCTCCTAATACTCTCTGGGATTAGATAAGCAGGATGCATCCTTCTAGGGAGAAAGTGGACTTTCCATTCTAATAAATATCTCTAAAATGGCCGTATCTCTAAAATGGCCATGTATAAATGGGTTGCATGGACCTCTGATTGGTTTGGATTCTTTTAAGTGTGATGATGGATTTCCGCATGTATCAGACACCCGGCTGACCAAAAAAAAAGTACCACAGAGGGTTTCTGGAACAGGTCGTTCTGAAGTCTTACTTCTGAGCTTTGAGTGAAGGGGAATATCAGATGATGGGAAGCATTTTGTGTTTTCTGAGGTTAATATTGAGCCTGCAGTGTCTCTTGTCAATATTGTGAAGTATTGCACAATATGTGAATAATAATAATAATAATCCTTGCATTTGATATAGCGCTTTTCACGTCTTCTAGACGTCCCAAAGCGCTTCACAGAATATACTGTAAAGTGAATTGAATATTGACTGAATATTCAACAATGTCGCTGTGTTTTGTCTTTTGCAGATCTGTCCGTCATTGCATCATGCACATCCATTTCATGGGCAACCCTGGACTATTATGTGGCACTAAGAAAATCATTGCCCTTAAAAAAGAAGCTAGTTTGTGGATTGCCTTATGTGACCTATGTACTTTATAAGTGGCTGACACTTTGTTCCAAGATTTTAAGCATGACTCTACTGGCTACTCTTCACATCATTGGCATTGCTGCTTATGTGTCTGTCATGTGGATTATCATGATCACTTGGGTCTTGAAGCAGAACACCAAGTTTACAACTTCCAAATGCCAAGAATTTATTTATCGACTGGTTGTTAGCATTATCATGATTTTCACCTTTTTTAATATAAAAGGCCAGAATACAAGACTGTCCATGGGTTATTATTATGTACTCAGAATCGTTGAGACCTTTGTGATAGTTTTGTTGTGTTGGTTGTTGAAAGACCCATCATTTGATAAGGGTTATGATCTGCCGGTCAGCATAGTCATAGGAGTTACATTAGTTATGGGAATTTTTTGTCTTATTTTATATTATGTATTTTTCCAACCTAATAGTTATGCAAAAAACACAGATGTTGAGGAATCAAACAATTTGAACAATGGAACAGGCTCAGAGGTGTATTATGATGAGGTTGATGGAAACTTGTCTAATGGTCAAAATGAAAACAGTCAAAGGAATCATGAAGCTGACACATATCACAAAAGAAAATATTTGCGCCAAAAAATGTTTCTACTTGAATAAGAATCGAACACAATCCAAAATCACTCGAAATTTTGTTTTTCAAAGCAATAAAAGGAGAATTGATTGTACTCCCTGATCATTGTGGCTTTCTAGCCATCTCCTCTCCAAACACAAATAATGATATCTCACTGAGACAAGAGTTTGGTAATAATTGGATGTTTAATAACCTTTAATTAAACTTACTGCTGAGCGGACAGTGAGTTATAGAATATGCACAAGAGCAATTTCTGCCTGTGAGTTCATTGTCAACAACTTTTTCTGACCCAAGACAATACAATTTACACAACACCTTTCACAGAAAATATGAAGTGACACCATGTGGTGAATAATTAAACTGCATGTTGCCTTTTTTTGTAATGCATCCATCAGCAGAACTTCTGAAGGTGCAATAAATGTGGATCACTTGGCACGGGAGGATACGAGCTGAAGACTAATATGCCTTTCCACAAGGCTTTTCTTACAATGGTGACTGAATAAAGCGAAACTGCCGAAATCCCAAGTGTGCCAGACTATGGGCTTCTTCTGTGCTGTAAACTTTAATATGTTTGGGCTGTACGTTCTGCAAAAGGGTGCCGGAAATCCGAGTCTATATAAAACTGAAAGAAATGAGAATTGATATATTTACTTGGTAAATATATTTGCCAAAATGACAAATGGCTGTGGACACCATATGGTGTCACTTCATATATTCTGTGGAGCCAGTGTGGCATCTGACAGAATCCAGGTGAGGTAAAGCTCCACAAATATGGTTGCCTTGCTGGTAACCTCATGAGATGCTAATAACTGGAACAAGGCCACTTTCATGAGACTAAAGCTTTTAGTCTTCTCTGTTGCCTGGAAAAAAAAATCGAAACAAAAATAGAATAAATTTATTTTATAGAAAACTATGGCCATGGAAAATGAGATACTAAAGTAATAATAATCCTAATCCTTAGATTTGCTACAGCGCCTTTCATGTTGAGAGGACGTTCCAAAATGCTTCATGGGTTTTACTGTAAAGTGGACTGTGTGTTTTGTCGGTGAACAGTTAACAATAATTTATAATTATTTATAGTTGCTTTAAATCTCATTCTCCTGTTCTCTCCCCACCCTCCATATCCTTTGATATTATCTTTTCTCAACTATTCTTTTTTAAATGCTGTGATGGACTTGGCTTCTTCAGACACTAATGATAATGTGTTCTGTACTCTAACAACTCACTGTGTAACGCACATTCTTTCAACCTCTCAATTTTGCTTGCCTTGCTTGAATAGAAATCAATAATATAATAATAGATTTAGCACCTTTTCACACCATCTCAAAGGGCTTCACAGGATTTACTGTAAAGTGGTGTGACTGTCTGTGTTTTGTGGATGAAATAATGATCCTGTCAGAGTTGCAGGGAATGGTTTAAAACTGGGAGGCAGTGTTTGATGGAATATAACACCTTCCCGTTGAAGTGGACATTTGACCACTTTTTTACAAAAAATTCCCCTGGAGTACTTGATCATTCCCATTACCATAATGTTGCAGAACCTGATATTCCATGAGATTGGAATATCATTCTCCCCAAGATACCGTAACGGCATATGGTATAAAAATAGCTATTAATGTGTGGAAAATTATACACTTGAGTGGCAAAGCACAAAAACAGAGTGAATAAGTGGCAGGAAATTATACTGTGAGTTGACTCAGAATTTTGCTCCTTATGTGAGAACTAATGAAGGTAATTTTTCCAGCATTGCTTGGTGAAATCACCCTGGAGGAGTTCGATGTGTTGGGGATAGCACAAAAGCCGCTGGAGTTTTCTATTTGGGCCCACCATAGTATGTTCATAAAAAGTCAAATCATTTTGAATTGAATATTCAACTGTCCAGCTTAAGAGATAAAAAAAGGTTAAAACATGGCTCCAAAAATGGTTGCAAAATGTATTAACATGTTGAGGTGGTGTCAGCATAGAGTTTAATGACATCAGAGTAGACAATGGATGAAATGGGCGAACCTTTGTAATGATGAATCATCTATTTTGACAGACAAAAAGCATGCAAAATTCATGTAGACAAAGTTAGATTTATTATATGTATTTAAGAGCCAAAGTGTATTCTTTCCCAAAAGAGCTGTGTTTCATCATTTCATACCCTTTCCTTGAGTTAATAACAGTTATTTGATGACGAATGGTTGGGAATAATTATGATGGTGTAGTATTGATCTACATCCATAATGGAAAATGCAACATTAGATGTACTCCATTGTTGAAGCTTTGTTGAAATTCTTTTATCAAAAGCACTCTGGAATAATTAGGCGGTCAAGCAAAAGTCTGGTAACCCTAATTAAAAACGGGGAAAGGAATCCTTATAATTACTCCTTAAGGAATTAATGCATTTGTAAATTAACAACTGGCAGAAGGTTTTAAATGTAAAAATAGCATTATTCTGAAAAATAAAATATGAATAATATGAGCTCATTTAAAAAAAATCTATCTTATGTTCAAATTAGCGAGCCTGCTGTGTAAGAAGGATGGAATTCCCAGGAATTGTGTAAAGTTAACATATTTTTATCTAGTCTGATATGTGGTGGCAACAATGAGCTCACCTGAAAAGCATGCAGAGTGCATCAAAACTCTTTGGTCTATGAAACAGTAGTTGGTTTGAAAATAAACATGAGTGTAGTAATAGGTTCTTAGCTCAGATCAAATTCACAGTTCTTGCATACATGAAAGCCTTTTAAACATCAGCACTAATCGACCATTGTCAGAAGCACTCAATAAAGGCAGACAGTTGCAAGGGATTAACCAGTGTGTGAACTATCACTTCAATAGGCTGTAGCTTTATTCTTCTAGGCAGTAATGTGACTTTGGATAAGGGATAGTATAATAAACACAAACAAATTCTAATTTAATTAAAACAACATTTTCAACATTTCAACTTCAGACGTTTAAAATTGTTAATCTGAGCACTCTCAGTCTATTATATTTCTGAAGCATGCAAAGTAATTGAAGCCAAGTTCCTTCCTAATGAACTCCCAAGCATAAATGTGGCTTTAATTAGCACGACTGCAGGCCAGCCATGAGATGTGGTTGATATGAAAGGAATTTTGAACTGTCTTTTGACATCTGATTGCCTCATGGACAGAACATGACTCAAATTGGTTCGTTTGTGGGATCTGTGGTATTAAGAGCAGTATTATGATTCATGGATTTGCCCTTAATGCTTACTTGTTAAATCAAAGAAACCATGCTAACAAATTGCTCCTGTCAAAGATAGACGTTAGCGATAAAGGTTAATTACACACTTTCTGTTTACTCGATGATCAGATAAATGTGTCGCTTTTACAAAAAATGCTGTTTCTTCAGAGTTAAATGCTGGGTGTACTCAGGGGCAAGGACACACTGGCTCATCTCTAACATTGTGAATGTTCCTGAACATCCATCATGGAGGGGGCTAAAATTCAGTATTTGCAGCAGGATTCAAAAGCAATGTGTAGCTATCATTTAATGCTGGAATTGCGACAAACAGATGCACAGAAACTCTGCTCCAATGATCCTGGAAGGAATTCAGTGTGACACACATCCAGTTGTGGGAAGGATTTGATAATTATGAATCCTTCTTGAATTGTGTTGTAAATGCAACATTTTTGACCTCATAGATCATGTGAGAGAGAGAATGAGATGCGAAGTACAACTTTTTCTTATTAAAATGCCCAGAATGAGAAACGACAACAATTACTATTGAACCTTTGTCACTGTTATAGATGGAGAACTGGCTGTCTGCTGTATATACATGAATGTTTGGTGTCAACTGGTGCCAATTTGATGTCAGCTTGTTTCAATTGGAGACACTCTTGTCTCTGTAACTGTGGGTTCAAGACCCTCATTGAGACTTTGAGCTCATAATCCATGTTGACATACCATTGCAATGCTTAGGTGTAATGCATTGTCAGAGGTTCTGTCCTTTGGATGAGACATTAAACCGAGATGTCATCTGCTTGTTCAGGTGGAAAATAATAATAATATCAATCCTTGCATTTGATATAGGGCCTTATCACATCTTTGAGATGTCTTCAAGCGCTTCACAGAATATACTGTAAAGTGAATTTACTATATATTTTGTGGGTGAAACGCGGCAGCCAATTGTGTATAGCAATGTCAAACAAGTGACAAAATTATTATTTATTTTTTTCTTTTTTTTGAAGGGATTTTACTCCTGGAAAAACAATCTGCCAATTGATTAACAACTGAGTTCCTACTTATTGCAAGATAAACAGAGGCGTGTGGAGTAAGGAAACATGGCTAACAATTCGCCCTTCCTCGGAATTGAACCCAGGTCCTTTCGCTTGCAATGCGAGTGCTCTAACCACTCAGCTACAGGATGATAAAGATCCCATGGAATCTTCAAAAAGAGAAGGGAATTGCCCCTGGTGTCCTGGCCAACTATCCTGTAGATAATATGTATCATTTGCTTCATGATTGTTTGAGGGGCACACTTTGCTATGTCAAATTGGCTGCTCATTTGCTTACAAAATGCACATTAACTACACATTAAAATTCTGTGAAGTGCTTTGAGACATTCCAATGATTAAGAATGTGCCATATCGAACTCAAGGATTACTTTCTATTATAATTCCAGCGCTCTCAATGTTTTCATGTAGTAGTTTTAGGTGTGCTATGTTTTAGGTGAGCTCAATTAAACTGGAAACGGAGAAATAACTTTCCAACAAAAATAAGATAATATTTGTACGAGCATATTTATTAATCCTAACATTTGATCTAATATCCGCATCACACCATAAAGTCTCAAAGCTCTTCACAGGATTTTATTGCAAAGACTGTATATTTGCAGGCAAACACGGCAGCCAATTTGGGGAGAGCAATGTCCCACAAACAGCCATCGAGTGAATAATCAATTATTTTTCTCTCTGGGCGATTGTTGGCAAGAATACTGGAAGAAACGTCCTTCCAAATATCCTATTAACATTACACTTGACGGGGTAGGGAGCGTACCCAGGATTTGAGAAATATGCTTGATTTCTAAGATTTCCATTTGGAGACTGATGGAATCTGAATGGAAAGCCTGAGGGCATTGTTACTGAGGAAGCAATAGAAGCAAGAATCAGGATTAATCTGAACCCGAGAGGCTGTAAGTTTGTGAATTTGGGATAAAATCCTTTTTTAACATTGTTAAAAAGATGGTTGCCCAACTGGCTCTTTAATAATGTTAAAGGACATATACCCCATTCTGGTATTCTGCACATGAGCCAAAGGCAATATTTTTTTGGCTCCAATTCAAAGCGATGTGGAGTATAAATTGGGCTTCCCTCAGCACATCGCTAGCTATGTGGGAGCAGGAGTGAAGCTTCAGTATAAACACAGCATTAGAGAGCTCATTACGGCTGATTCAGAGTGTGACACGTCAAAGCCAGCTGCAGAAACCATTTCAGCAGAAACAAAAATGAGGATTGTACTTAATTGATTTTAACCCTTAAGTACTGACTTTCTTCTAAAGTTTCCAAAATACACTTATTGTACTATATACCATATCACATCTGGAACAACAGGACTTCTAATGATGACTAGTACAAAGGAGCAGTGGAGAAATTTATGGAGCTGCAGAACTATGTGCGACAGTCCTTGGGTGGCCCAATAAGTTGAGCAGCTTGTCAAGCT